CCTGGCTGGTCGTGTACCTGTACCTGTACCTGTGCCTCTCCACCCCTTGCAGCCCAGGCTCTTACGCTTGCGCCTGTATCTGTACCTGTTATACCGGTCTGAGTACAGGTGCGGATACAAGTGTCTTGCTCGACGTGTACTTGTACCTATACCTATACCTATACCTCCACCCCTTGCACCCCTTGGGCTCTTGTGCTCGCGCGTACCTGTACCTAGTATGAGTACAGGTACCTGTACAAGTACCTTAGCTGGTCATGTACTTGTACCTATACCTATACCTCTCCACCCCTTGCAGCCCTCGAACTCCTGTGCTTGCTACCTGTGTACCTATGCTGAAACCTCGGGGGTAAGAGTACAGGTATAGGTATAGGTAAAGGACAAGTATATCTGGGCAGCGCAGCAGTACCTAAACCTTCTTAGTATAGGTATAGGTATAAGACAAGTGTATCTGGGCAGCTACCTAAACCCCCCTCAGTATAGGGACAGGCAAAGGACAAGTGTATTTGGGCAGTGTAGGCAGTACCTAAACCCCCCCAGTATAGGTATAGGTATAGGACAAATGTATCTGGGCAGTGTCGGCAGTCCCAGCACAGGTATAGGTATAGGACAAGTGTATCACGCGGGCAGTAAGCAAGAGCGCCCCTTCCAGGTACACCCTCACGCCCCCACACACATAAGACCCCGCATCTCAACCCCCCCGAGTATGAGGGCCTTGGAATCCAGACAGTACCTAAACCCCCCCAGTATAGGTACAGGTGTAGGACAGGTGTGTCTGGAGGAGCAGTGTCGGCAGCACTTTTTCCACACCCAGTCTAGGTACAGGTTTTGGACAGGTGTATCTGGGCAGCGCAGTACCTAAACCACCCCAGTATAGGTACAGGCATAGGTATAGGTATACGTCTGTAAAAAGTACCTATTCCTTCCAAGTACACCCTCACGCCATATAAGACCCCACATGTAAACCTTCCCAGTAGAAGGGGGACAGTACCTAAACCGCCCCAGTATAGGGGCAGGTTTAGGACAGGTGTATCTGGAGCAGTGTCGGCAGTCCCAGTACAGGTATAGGTATAGGACAAGTGTATCACGCGGGCACGTAAGCAAGAGCGCCCCTTCCAGGTACACCCTCACGCCCCCACACACATAAGACCCCGCATCTAAACCCTCCCGAGTATGAGGGCCTTGGAACCCAGACAGTGCCTAAACACCCCCAGTATAGGTATAGGTGTAGGACAGGTGTAGCTGGAGCATTGTCGGCAGTACTTTTTCCACACCCAGTCTAGGTACAGGTTTTGGACAAGTGTATCTGGGCAGTGCAGTACCTAAACCACCCCAGTATAGGTACAGGCATAGGTACAGGTATACGTACAGGTCTATAAAAAGCACCTATACCTTCCAGGTACACCCTCACGCCATACAAGACCGCACATGTAAACCTTTGCAGTAGAAGGGGCTTGGAACCTTGGAACCCAGACAGTACCTAAACCCCCCCAGTATAGGGGCAGGTTTAGGACAGGTGTATCTGGGGCAGTCGGCATTACCCAAACCACCCTAGTTTAGGTTTTGGTATAGGTTATACGTGCAGATCTGTAAAAAGTATGTTTTCTTTTGACTAATCAGACACCACGTCTACAGAATAGGTTCAGGCCCAGTGCAGGCAGTACCTAACCCCCCCAAAAAGGTATAGGCAGGTGTATCCCGATCATGGGTTCAGGACAGGTGTATCTTGACCCCTTGTAGGCAGCACCTAAACAAGACCCCGACCCCACATCTGTAGGGCCAGTGTAGGCAGCTAAGCGCCCAGTTTAGGTGTAGGTATAGGAGGTGTATCTGGGCAGTAGGCAGTACCACCCCATTACAGGTGCCTATACCTTCAGTACCTGAACCGCTCAGTATAGGTTTAGACAAGTGTATCTCGAACCCCCCCCCAGTGTAGGCAGTACCAAAAAACACAGTAAAGATATAGGTAGACGTACAGCCTCAGGTTTGCTTCAACCCCCAGCATAGCCACGTTGGGCGTACCGATACTTCCGGTGCGCAATCGTTAGTTTAAGGTGCACAGGGCAGGTTGTGTCTCTCTGCCCCCCACTTTGGCAGTACCCAAACCAGCCCAGGACAGTGTAGGTTGAGGTTTCAGGTAGGTGTGGACAGGACTCACCACCCCGCGCCATGTTGATAGGCAGTGCTCAAGCTATCCCAGTCCAGGCCACCAGACAGGAACAGCTGTCAAGTTCAGCCAGACAGCGCCTAAACTCCCCAGTATAGGTATAGGTATGGAACAAGTGTATCTGAGCAGCGTAGAGGTACAGGTATAGGTATGTGTACAGGTCTGTAAAAAAGTACCTAAACCTTCTAGGCACACCCTCACGCCCCCACACACACAAGACCCCGCATCTAAACCTCCCCGAGTATGAGGGCCTTGTACCTAAACCCCCCAAGTATAGGTACAGGTGTAGGACAGGTGTGTCTGGAGGAGCAGTGTCGGCAGCACTTTTGTCGAGGTACAGGTTTTGGACAGGTGTATCTGGGCAGTGTAGGCAGTACCTAAACCACCCCAGTATAGGTACAGGTATAGGTATAGGTTTACGTACAGGTCTTTTCAAAGTACGTATACCTTACCCTCACGCCATATAAGACCCCACATCTACACCTTTGCAGTATTTGGAACCCAGACAGTACCTCTGGGCAGTGTCGGCACTACTTGTACCTATACCTACCCAGCACCTGCCCCCGCTAGTCGTGCGCTTGGAGGGGGTGTCTGAGTACAGGTGCGGGTATAAGTGTCTCGCTAGCCGTGTACTTGTACCTTTACCTATATACCTATACCTCTCCACCCCTTGCAGCGCTCGAACTCTTCTCCTCGCGCCTGTACCTGTACCTGTACCTATACTTAAACCTTGGGGGTATGAGTACAGGTACATGTACAAGTACCTGTCTGGTCGTGTACTTGTACCTGTACCTATACCTCTGCACCCTTTTTCGGGTTTTTGTGCTTGCGCCTGTACCTGCCCATACTTACACGGTCAAACGCCGGGTAAAAGTATAGGTACCGGTACAGGTACAGGCGCAAGCACAAAAGTTCAATTAAGCTTGCACTTATACAAAATACCCGCACAGGTTTGAGTCTTCGTACCTGTCCGGATACGTTTACCGGTAAGTACCTGGCTGGTCGTGTACCTGTACCTGTACCTGTGCCTCTCCACCCCTTGCAGCCCAGGCTCTTATGCTTGCGCCTGTATCTGTACCTGTTATACCGGTCTGAGTACAGGTGCGGATACAAGTGTCTTGCTCGTCGTGTACTTGTACCTATACCTGTACCTAGACCTTTGTCCCTTGCCGCCCTTGGGCTCTTGTGCTCGCGCGTACCTGTACCTAGTATGAGTACAGGTGCATGTACAAGTACCTTAGCTGGTCATGTACTTGTACCTATATCTATACCTCTCCACCCCTTGCAGCCCTCGAACTCTTGTGCTTGCGCTTGTACCTGTACCTGTGTACCTATACTGAAACCTCGGGGGTATGAGTACAGGTACATGTACAAGTTGTGCTTGCGCCTGGACCTGTTCTAGGTACAAGTTTTGGACAGGTGTATTACCTGAACCCCTCATCATAGGTTTAGGACAAGTGTATCTCGAACCCCCCCAGTGTAGGCAGTGCCAAAAATCACAGTATAGATATAAGTGTCTCGCTAGTCGTGTACTTGTACCTGTACCTATACCTATACCTCTCCAGCCCTCAATGGCTCTTGTGCTTGCGCGCGTACCTGTACCTCTGCTTATACCCGGGGGGTATGGGTACAGGTACATGTACAAGTACCTTTGCTGGTCATGTACTTGTACCTATACCTATATACCTATACCTGTCCACCCCTTGCAGCGCTCGAACTCTTGTGCTTGCGCCTGTACCTGTACCTGCGCCCATACTTGTACCCGGGGGGTATGAGTACAGGCACATGTACAAGTACCTTCGCTGGTCATGTACTTGTACCTGTACCTATACCTCTCCACCCCTTGCAGCCCTCGGGCTCTTGTGCTTGCGACCTGTACCTGCACCCATACTTGTACCCGGGGGGTATGAGTACAGGCACATGTACAAGTACCTTCGCTGGTCATGTACTTGTACCTATACCTATACCTCTCCACGCCTTGCAGTTCTCGGGCTCTGGCGCCTCTACCTGTACCTGCACCCATACTTGTACCCGGGGGGTATGAGTACAGGTACATGTACAAGTACCTTTGCTGGTCATGTACTTGTACCTATACCTATACCTCTCCACCCCTTGCAGCCCTCGGGCTCTTGTGCTTGCAACTGGCGCCTCCACCTGTACCTGTACCTATACTTAAACCCGGGGGGTACGAGTACAGGTACATGTGCAAGTACCTTTGCTGGTCATGTACTTGTACCTATACCTATACCTCTGCACCCCTTGCAGCCCTCGGGCTCTTGTGCTTGCGACTGGCGCCTCTACCTGTACCTGTACCTATACTTAAACCCGGGGGGTACGAGTACAGGTACATGTACAGGTACCCCCCCGGTATGGGTATAGGTACGTACCCACCCCCCCGGGGTACTAACTGGAGTTGCTGGGCTTCAGCCTTTTGAGGAAGACTTTGGTGGTAAAAAGTTTGGTTACTTGTTCTGGCTCTTGCGCTCGATCGGAAGTGACATAAACGCAAAGCGACCTGGGGTTGGTTATTTGAACATATGCTGGGGTAACTCCGAACCCGAGCCAGTACCGGTGGAAACCAAGCCCGTCCGAAGTCCTCTTCAAGGAGTTTTGCAGCGCGGTTGGTGGTTTAGCTTGGACAGGGGCAAGATCAATACACAAATCATATTTCAACATGTCTTTGTGATAGATAAAAGGTCAGCAAGGAGCAATGCCAGCCGTAGAGCAAAGGCTCGGAGCGCCGGATATGCGCCCCAGTTCTTTACTTGGCCATGGTTGAAGGCCACGCCAGGATTCCCTCGTGCTGCTGCGCAAGCGATCCGTGAGCGACGCGGAGATGATCCGGAGGAGAAGCCCTGGACGGGTGCCGGGTGCCCCACAGGGAGATCCCTGTAAACATGTGTTTCCTTTTTTTTGGGGGGGTCCATCTTGATTTGCAGGAGTGTAAGCTTTTCGGAAGGTAAGCAAAAAGTGCGGACTTCTGAGCCATTCACGCAAGTGCTTCGATTTCGGACCAGATTTTGTCAAGCCCGCTTTGGGGCGCTTTGGGGATCTTTGGGGTGCACTGAAAAAGATCAGCCAGCATGAACCTGCCAAAAGACCAGCAACCCCCACTGTAGGGAAAGTTGGCCGCAACTGGGACCAAAGCTCAGGTTTAAATGGCCGCAACTGGGACCAAAACTCGGGTTCAGCGCTCGGACCGAACCCACCAAACTGGTCCAAGTGCCTCCCCTCCATGGTTGTTGTTGGGAAACATTTACATTTTTGCTTTTTGTGGTATTGGGAAATCCCCACTTGGCTGCTAAAATTTAATTTTTTGCTCCCCGTCAACCAAGCTTCAGCAAGAGCATGTCACGCCAAAGAACACCCAGGTTGTAGAACTTTCGTTGGGCCGCCTCCTTTGAGCGATGTTCCTTTAGGGAATTTGGCGGTTTTGTGTATTCCAAGAATTTATTCCTTCCCCTTCCTGCGTCCGAAAACCACTTGCTGCAAACGGTTTTGGACCCTCCAAAGCAGCCGGCAAAGGCATGCACTGCATTTCTCTTTTCGGTCTCTTCAGTTGTCCAAAAAGGTCGACCTTTTAATCGTTTTTTCCATTTGGGCGCGTCTTTTTTAGGGGGCCCGGAAAAAAGGGCTCCGGTGTTCCTGTTGATTTCCATGCATTAAGTTCACCAAAAGGGGGGGGGGAGTGGCACCGAGCCTCAACAGAAAGACACACCCATTTGGAACCATGTTCAGTCAACGTCCCACAAGCTCAACCTTTGTTTTCCGGGTCTGTGGTCACTATGTCAGGGGGCTATGAAAGTTAGAAAAGCAGGTATCCTTTAGTTGGCGGTTTGGATTGCTGGTTTGCAATGGACAATCAAAGCCCCTGGTTCTTGTACAGGGTAAACTAACTATGAGGCTAGTTTGGGCCAAGGGGAAGCTAGTTGGGTGCACAACCTTTCTGCGGGGACTGCCCGTTGTGGTACTTTGCACGTGCGCTTGCCGGAAGTTTTTTCTCGCGCGCAGGCTTGGGGAATCGCAAGCCGGGGCACAGGCCCGACGCCGGGGACGCCGTGCTTCAGGTAGCTTTTGCTGAGCCCACAACTCCCATGACTCGGAGAAACCAACTGGCAGGGATACAGGGGGAACCAGGGATACGGGAGGTTTCCCCCTTGGCTAAGTTTGATCTGGGAAAGTGGCGCCAAGGGAATCCCCTCATATCCACGCTCCCTCCGTATCCCCGCTTGCTCGTTTGTCCAAATGACTGAGTGGCTATTTAGTCGGATCCTTAATTGTTTGGTTGACGCAGGTCGGATGTTCCATTGGACCCACAAAAGGTGAACAGCTGTTCATGGTTGTCGTTGGGAAACATTTTACATTTTTGCTTACTGCAGTTTAGTGGGAAATCCCCACTTAATTGCCAAAATTTCATATATTTTTCCCCCTGCCAACGTCAAACTGTTTGCAGAGGGGTCGTTGCAGCAACCATTATCATGTTTTGTCATTTTGTCTGGAGGGGGGAATGCTCAAGTCCACACCCAGCCGACATGTCCAAGAAAGGCTGGCCTTTTTTGGGGAAATCCACAGGTGATTGAGTTGAGGTGAGGAGGTGAACAGCACCATTTACATCAGGCTAGGAATTTGCAATGAGACTGTTCACGTGCTCGAGGTTGCCCATTCGAAGACTGGTCGGGGGCAACCCAGCTCAACCTGTGCTTGTTTTACCAATCGGTCGCACTCGCTCAACCAAAGCGAGTCGACCTGATATCGCCCCTTGGCTCATTCATGTCGACCAAGCTATTTCATGTTGTTGAACTTTACTTGGGCGTGTTTCTTTAGTGGCCCGGCCAAATTTTGGGTATGGTGTTTTGGGGGTATGAGGCTGTAAGAACACCCAGGCCAGTACACAAGAAACCATGCCACTTCATCGGGACACTTGTGGCGGGAGAGAGTAGGAATGGATCAAAAAGACAGGGAGGGAAAGTGAGTGGTGTTTTCAACCCGGATCTTGGATGAAACTCTTGCCTGAGTTGCTGGACTTTCATTTGAGTGGTAAACAGAAAAGCATGGACTTGTTCTTTTTGCCAATCCACTCAGGAAATGAGGAAACCGGTTCCCAATCACAATCAAACCATATCAAACCGACCCAAGCACATGGGAGCCGGAACCATTTTGACCCAGAGGCTCACTTCCCGAAATATTAACCTGAATCTGAACATATGTCGGATGTGCTTTGGGCTTGGGCCACGTGCGCTAAAAAGTCCCGAGCCTGAGGGGTGACCAACCAGCAGGGGTTTTGGGAGTTGTGCTGCTTCGTCGCCTTTTGGGAAGCTCATGTAAGGGGGAAGCAACACGTGGGTATAAGTTTGAAAGGGAACTTCCTCCAAGGTTGGCGGACACTTTCAGCCAAGCAAATGAACTCTACCACAAGGACGCTGGACCTTCGCAGAGAAACAGAGCAAGAGAGAGACGAAGACAAAAGCAGGACCCGATTCAATTTCACTCTCAGACAGTCCAACTCAGCAAGTGAGCGCTCAAATCGTTTTCCCCTCTAAGGTTAGTTCCTGTGAGTCTTTGACCGCCGCCAACGTCCACTGCTCTCAAGGATCTTCGATCCAATGCATGATTTAGAAGGGGGCTTAGGGCCTCCAGAGCGACGTATCACTTCCTGAGTTCATGGACTTAAAACTTTTTGGGAAGACCATGATAGTTGTGAATAAGAAGTTGCTGGACTTCTTTGGCCAGTCCGCTCATGCTAGGTGCAACTGGAATAACGTTTTTCAGGGGGCCCCCAGTCTTTTCACAGATTGAATAGTCTTATTTGCTGAACTGAATATTGTAGTCACTGTCCCTTGGGTTTAAATGCAATTGATTTCACCACTGGACATATTTTTATGTTGGCCCAGGGGGCCAAAAAGCAAATGTTGATGTTTTGAGTGCCCTGCACCCCTGAAAACTCAGCCACGCTTTGCTCAGGTATCCAAGCTTACAGGCAAGGGTTTAGGCCAGCGCTCAAGGCCTCCGGGCCGCACATGCATGGGTCCTTGCGGAGAGGAAAAAAACAGCTCGACTTGCAGAGTCTCTTGATGTGTTTTCCAGGGGGTGCATAAGAAAGCAGATGGAAGAGACTGATCGCTGCCAGGCGGGAGATCTGAAGCTGGCTGAGCAAGCGCAACTGTCCGCAGCTTTGGTCATGGCTGGGGTGCGGTCAAAATGCTGTTGGTTGCGAACTCCGCTTCTCGCACCACCGCTCAGAAACTTGTTTTTCTCGATGCCCCCCGACGTAAATACCAACAATCAATGGTTGCGACCATGGTTTGCAAGTGGTGCGAACGGATTTCGGCCGGCTTGTCAAACATTTTTCTTTTGGGATACCGACAAGGGATACCGAAAAGGGATATCAGAAAGAACGGGACACCAAAAAAGAGATATCAGAAAGGACAGTGGTACCAAAGAGGGATATCACAAAGGACCCCTAATTTTGACAAATAATTGACAAGGACCATTGGTGACAGAAACCCGGATTTGTTGATTTTGCTTGCAGGGACGCCACCGTGCCACCAGCATATTTCCGGCTTTAATTTCCATTTGGACCTTCAATTCAACCCAGACCTCCGAGGGGAGGGGCAGATTTGACTTTGATTTATTTTATGTTGACTTGTCTTGTTTTTGTTGTTGGTTGATTTGTTGGCTTGATTGCTTCTAGATGCTCGGCTTTGAGGAAAAACTAGCTTCCTGAGTTCCCGAACCATATGTTGTGAGGGAAACACCGTTTTTGCATGTTTTTGCGGCCAACAAACAGTGTGAGCCATGTTTGGGGGAAGCCACATATGGTGGCAAACAAATGGTTCGGGCCATTTTTCCTTTTGGGGAAGACCATTATAGTGGCAAACCAAAAAGTGGCTTGCGCCTTTTTTAGCCACTCACGAACTGAACAAAAAATGCGAGTCCGAGGAATACAGGGAAGAGGCTGAGGAGCAGAACGCCCAGCTCCTGCTGGTGCAGGAAGAAGCGGAGGAGTGCGGAACTCGGATGCCTTAAAAAAAATATGTCGGACTTTGAGGGGTCCCTAGATGTCCCTTTTTGGTGTTTGAAAGGTGAGCGTCCCTTGGTGGGTGTGACGTTTTCAGGATTTTTGCCAAGGGATGTTAGGACTTTTAACCTTTTGCCAACTAATGGGTTTTGCATAAAACCACTAGGAGTTCAAAGCTTTTAGCAGGGGAGCAGCAAGCAACCAGGTGGGGTGGGCTATCAAACTCTGGCCCCTCCGACCGCGGCGCGTATCCCACATGTCCAACATGGGATACCCAAAAGGGATAGACACCACGGGATACCAAAGTCTAGGAGGCGGAGCCCTGGACTCATGACTCCAAAATCTGTCTGGGAAACCATAGCTTTTTGGGGTTTTCCAACGAGGCTCAAACCTGTAAAAACCAGGGGGGTGGGTTGAGGGGGGATAAAATCTCAATTGAGATTTTATAGGGGAAGAAAAAATCATGGGTGATAATACATGATTATATATATATATATATATATATTTTAAAAAGGGGGTTATGTAAGCAGCATTACTTGATCCGATTTGGCCGCGGATCCAACTTGTTTTCCAACCACAAACCTGGGCTTCAAAAGGGAAAAATGCGCGCCAAGAGGTAAAACGGAGGTTGCACAAAGAGGTGTGTGGCTGGGAACAAAATCAGGGCCCCCACCCAAGAAATCTTTGTCTCACATGGCAACGGATTTCTGCGGACTTGAACTGTTGGGTTGATTTTTTTTCTCCGAAATGGACCCGCATAAAGTTGAAAACACTTGCAGAGGGGGTCACAGCAACCAAGAAATCTTCACGATTCTTTGTATGAGATTTGGCATTTCAGTAGGGGAGTTCTACCTGGTGTCATAGGTTTTACCGCCTAGGATCGCATTGGCCACTTGTTGAATATGATTTCAAGAACTATTGTTCAATCAAAATCCGATCCCCTGGTTTAATTTTGACCCATGGCCAGGGGTGCAATGGTACATACTCCTTTTACATACCCCTACAAATAAACCCCTGAGAGGCCTGCTGATGTTCATACCCTTCTCCCCAAAAGGGATTAATATAGTCATACCCTTCTCCCCCAAGACAAAATCTAGCGAGAAAGTGGCTGGACACCAGGGAAGCCAAGGAACCGGTATGAGCAAGGAACCGGTATGTGCTTCCGCTATGGCCACGTCCTGATGGCCTTCCAATCCGGGCCATGGACTCCTGGAGCCCGCAGCCGAAGTGGGTCCATTGGGAGCTCAGCCGGGGGGAAGTTTCTATTTGTGGCGACTCATTTGTTTTTGTGTTTTTTTTTTGGGGGGGGGAAGGGTTTGACTGGAAATCTCAATTATGGCGACTCATTTTTTTTGGGGGGGGAAGACTCGAAAGTTGGAATTGGAGCTGGAACCTCCAACCCTGCCCCCCCAACCCTCTAGCCTTTTGCCCCTTAAGGCCTTAAGGTAGGGGGGGTTTCCTAGGTTCGAGGTCCTTTTCCAGCAGATGCAAGACGACCATTCCGTCGCACCTTGGCTTCTCACGCCTTGTCTCGCTGGCGCGATCGATAGGGAATGAGGGAATGAACCTGGGGGTCCCCTTAAAGGAAACCACCAGTTGGATGGTTTTTCTCATTCCCTGCTGAGCAGCAGCAAGTTGTCTCATTTGAACGCCAACCTGCCCCCCCAACCACGACAGTACTTGGGATGTCGGACATGGGAAGAAGCATTTGTTTTGGCGGGGGAGGCTGCTGGTTGTTGTTGCTGAACTTTTTGGGGGTAACATGGGCTATATGTCTGTGAAAGATTAACTTCCCCACGGCTTGGAGTTTTAAGGGGTAAGTGTTGGCCAATGAGTCAATGCTGTGCCAAGGTATGACAGGTATGAATTTGTGGTCCGCGCAAGTGAAGGTTGGCTGCCAAGAGGGCTTCACGTTTTGCGGTTGATTGGCTGGCGGTCATATTGCTGCTCACTGCGATGCCCGAACTTCCTCACGTGATACGGCGGATGCCCAGACTTAACCACAATGGCATGGTAGATTATGCGTTCCCTTCTTCCCTTACTTGCAGTATTTAGGGTATCCACCACATAAAACCTGCACATCAACCACAACCTAAGAATGCCCTTGATTCAGAGCCTAGGCGGCCATAGGAAGGTCATGAGCCTGCAGTTTGCAGCAATTGCCGCTTGTACCTGCCATGCCCCAAATCAGTAGAGGAAATTATCGCGGACCATGGCGCAAACTTCCTTGTTTGGGTCTTGAGGCAGGGTCGACTTTGGCTGTGGTTATACTGAGCTCTTGTTTTATCGACCCCAGGATTGGTCTGGGAAAAGCCGGGGGACAGTGGGCAAGTTGTTTCGCGACATTACTATGGGTTTTGACGTTGCCCATGCATGTTCCTTGCACAAGGCTCCCGTATTTTCAGTTTGCAAAGTGGTTTTATTTTTGCAGGACATAAACCAGCCCAAGCTTCATACTTTCAACATGTTGGCAAGGCAGTTCCTTTTTGCGCTGCACAACCCCGCTCAAAAATCTGATGAATCGGGGGGGGGGGGTGCGACATTCACTTTTGAGGGCACCTCCGCTATCCACCACGAGTAGCGCCCTTTTCCCTTGTTTGACCGGTTCCTTACTGAGAATTGTCAATGCCAACAATCTAGAAAACGATTTGGATGTGGTTTTCGTTTATCCACCCATGTGGGATATCAAAAGTGTACCAAAAGAGTACTAAAAAGGGGGAAGAACAGGTGAAATCCACCAGCACCACCTCCAAACCGTTCTCTAGACATGGGTTCCCTCCGAACCGGGTCCACCGGGTCCACACGTGAGGTCGCAGAACAAGAAGCCGCTCTGCAGCAGGAGCTCGCGCAGCAAGAGCGCCTTTGCGCCGCAGCTCGTCGCTCACGGATGAGACATTTCTCCAAGGGTCGGATGGAGAAATCGGTTTGAGATGGCTTCCTTGGACTGTCTGTGTGATTAGCATATTCAATATCATCTTACCTCTTAAAAACACAACTTTTCAAGTTTCTTGGTAACATGGGCTATATGTCTGTAAAAGATTAACTTCCCCAGGGCTTGGAGTTTTAAGGGGTAAGTCATTTACAATAGTATGTGCATTAAAAGCATAGATTGTACATAATTGGAGTGTATTCAAATGGTGTTTTGTGGTCTTATTCATATGGCCATGGGTCAAAATCCAAATCGTACCGCCAGTGAGCATCCCAATCCCCCACTAAAATAGACTAGAATGGGTGGTGCACCTACCCCAAAATGGTACCATTGGTTTTGACCCACAGCCATATTGGTGTGTCTCTTTTTGGGGACCCCCGCAAAAACAAGTTGGTTGTCCTGTTGATTTCTCTCGAAACAACCCAAAAAGTGTACCCCCAAAAACACACAGGCTCAACAAGTAACATACGTGTTCCGTTTTTGGGGATCCCCCCAAGGCCCTTTGAGAGTTTAGTCACTCCTTTTTGCGACTTTGAGCTTGACTATTCTCACCCGCAACAAATGAAAGGCCACAGGCAAACAAGATGAACAGCATAAGTTTCCTTACCCCTTTTTAACTAAAAAGGGGTTAGCCAATACATCAGAGGGCAGCAACCCCCTTTTCAGGTCTCGAGTGTTTTGTTGAATTTTGCAGGGCGGAATCGAGTTCCAACCTGACTCACTCCCTGAGTTCCTGCACTTTGCTCGTTTTGGGTTTGGAGAATTTCGGTGAAGCTGCCACTTGAGATCAAAGCCTGGGTGAGTGAATCTTGACATGGGCTTGGGCAGATTGGGGACATCCTAGGGCGTTCTGAACATGTATGTTGCTTTTTTTGTTTTTGTTTTGTTTAACGGTTGTCCGCATGGTTTCGGAACAACCACGTGGCAGCACACCCCTTTTTCAGGTCTCAAGTGTCTTATAAGGATTTTGCAGCTGTCTGGTGGTTTCGGACCAGCCAGGCGTTGATTGACCCACTCGGCCCCGCCCCGGCGATCTTCTGTTGGCCGAGGAGTACCGAGCAGAGGCTGCGGAGCACGCGGCGTGTGCCTCCCTGGTGCAAGAGGAGGCGGAGGAGCGCTCGCCTCAGAAACTCGATCATTGTCACAATGACTTGCTTCCATTTGGTTAGTTGTTTTTCTTCTTTTTGTTTTGTTTTTAATTTACTTATTTCCCCTGTTGGTTTTAAAGGGAATCGATTTCACTACTGGACATATTTCATTTTTCCCAGGGGACTTCAGCAAATGGAGGCTTGTGGCGTTCTGTTATAGCGCATAGCTGGGGTCTCCTCCAAATCTACTTGATTTTAGGGGAGACAACCACTGAAACATGATCTGAATTCTGTGTGGTCTCCTCCGAGACTACTTTGTATTTGTAGGGTAGGCAACGGCAGAGTGGAGTAGCATGATGCTGCTCGGACAAGACCTGGCCGGGCCATCAAAGTTGGGGTGGTTCAAATCGCTCATGCCGTCCCGTGAAAAGCCACGACAAGTCCCGTTTACATTTGTAGGGAAGACAAAAACTGAGACATCATCTGGAAAATCTCGGTTCCCACCAAAAGGCTGCCAAACACCCCCACATATTGCACAGAGAGCTTCAGCAGGACTCTCACCACTGCATCGGGCGTCAAGGACCGATGATTTTCAAGTCCGTCCTGGCAAATGCCGCAAGCCTTTTCAGACAGCTGCACCATGTCGGGCCAGTTGCTGGTTACCCATGGATCTGTGTACCCATGGAAGTCAGGGAGCTTGTTGGAAGTCAGGGAGCTTGTCTGTGCCCTCTCCCACTTGCCCAGTGAAATTTTCGGCATTTTCCACTTCGGCCTGGCCAGTTCAAGACAAGGCATGCGCCAAGCGAGAACCACAAAACAGGCCATCTCAACAAAGCAGCAAACAGCTCGCGCAGGCGAAACACGCAACTGGTGGCCGCCCCAGATGGAAACATGACTTGCACGCGTCATTTTGTGAGGCTCGAGGTGCTGTGGCAGAAGATGCAGCACGACCATTCCAGCGCGCCTGCATCCGAACTGGGACCGGGGGTCCACATATGTTGTTCAAGCCCCCGTAGTTAAGAACCCAGCTCGTGGCTGGAAGGGGTCTTGTTTCCCTTTTTGGCTGCCGGACTTTGTTGGCGGCGCTCTCGTTTCACGGCTGCTACCGTGAACAAGTGTCGTGAAACATGTCCCTCGTGTGCCCGGTGGGGCCCAAAAAAGGGTCCCAATTCTGTCACTGGTTGCAGCTGGGTTGTGGAGGCCTCTGGCCTTCTGGGCTGGTACATCTTCAGAAGGCAATTTGTATGTCGTGGTTGGACGTTTTGGGCCAACCCAGTCAGGAATTGACCAGTACTCAGGGCAATGTGTTGCATTCTTGTGTTGTCAGACCTGTCGTGAGTGCGCGATTCGGATGTGTTTGGACCCGGGTGACCCGGGTGTTTTGAAGAGCGGCTTTTGTGCCGCGGCTCCTGATCAGCTGGAGCACCTTTCCTGAAAACGATTTGAGACTATCCGTGTAAAATTGAAAGGCCCGGGTGTCTTAGAATCAATCCCTCGTCTTTTTGCCCGGTGGTAGTGGTTTCACTATACGGGTTATAAGACTAGGACTAGGGATCCCCTCATTTTGAACAGCCAATCGAAAAAAGATAACCTGTGCAAACATGCTTGCTTTCCGATCCCCTCATTTTGAACAACCAATCGAAACTAGGCAAACCCAACCAAACCATGCTTTCTGAACAACCAGTCGAAAAAGATAAACCCAAGCCAAACATGCTTTCGGAACACCCAATCGAAATTAGGCAAGTTAAGCCATTATCATGCTTGGTATCGCTTTTGTTTGTTTTCTCCTTTTTACAGGGAATCCATTTCACTACTTGAAATATGTTCTCATTTTTCCAGGTAGCTTTATACAAGCAACCGAAAGCTGTTTGGGGTCCCACTTCGAGTCAAGGAACTGATTCACATCCCCAGGGTCGATTTTGATGGAGATGTGATCTCACGTTCCCAGACGTTACTAGGCCCCCAGTAGTGCCATTTTTCCTTTCTTGGGCGGAAAATAGACTACAGAAAAAAAGAAAAAAGCAAAAAAGAACGGTACCCTTATTCCAACCTCTCTACTGGAAGACCTAGTTTAGCTACTTTTTGGGTTTGGACCCATTTCAGTGGTAAACTCTGGTACCCAAAAAGGTTCGGCTACTTTTCTTTGGGCCATCTACTCAGAATGTGTTTGTGATTTGTTGAACAGGTTCATGGGAATGACCTGAAGAAAAACCCATCCAACTGGTGGTTTCCTTTTTTGGGGGACCAAAGCAACTGGGTTCGTTCCATTTCTCATTCCCCGCCTATCGCACCATTCCTTCCCCGCATCTCTCGCACCAAGCTCTGGGCATGGGGAAACTCCGCTTTTCGCTGTTGCACCCAGCCAAGGAGCTGGCACTGCAGCGAGCGGAGCTGCAGCAAGCGGAGCTGCGTTGTGGAGGCGCCGAGATCCGGGGGGGTCAGATGGAAGCCGCTGGCAGCCGGAGGAATGGCCCCGTCAAAAGGAACATATTCATAGGTGTCGTATTTTGGTCAGATGGAAGCAAACAGAATCGAGGGCCTTGGTTTACCTGGCCATCTATTTTTCCAAAAAGGACACCTATGAACATGTGTCGTCTAAAGGACCTTCCTGGAACGGAACGTTCTATGGTAATTGGTGGGAGGGCGGTCAGTTTTTTCTTGCTGGTTCTGAGCAGGGACTGGTGGAACGACCCTTAAAAGCCATCCAATTGGTCTTTTCCTTTAAGCCCCTGGGTGGACTCATTCCCTTCAAAGAGCACAGGCAAGGCGCTCCAAAAGTAACGCAACGACTGGCACCCGCCCAAACAGAAAATCCACCGCCATCACAAGCTTGGTGTGACATGTCTTTGTCTGACAGAGTGCAGGGTGTTTTTTCCTGTCAGACAGGGATCCAAGCAAGATCCCTACATGGCCAGCTGCCTGCAGAAGAGCTCCGAAAGCCGAGGAGTGCTGATCGGGGCTGGGTTCCTTTTGGTTTTTGAGGGGTTTCTAGATGGCCAGGTTGTGGCGATCCAAGTTCCTCCGATTCGAAGGCCCCTCCGGATGGTCCAGCTTGGAATGGAAAGAGTCCCGCGCAAGAGCTTGCAGGTTTGGAGGAGGAGGTCGTGCAGGCCCAGGGATCGGGAAATGTTGGGGGGGGGGTGGAAGTGCTCCGAATCCACGGTCAGTGCCACCCTTGTCTCTTTAGTTTCACTTTTGCCGGACTTTTGTTTTCTTTTCTTGTGTTTTTTTCTTTATTTCTTTCTTTTTTTCTTTCTCGGGTTGTTTTAGGTTATGAGGATCATTTGTAGTAGGGGGGCTGCAATAAAAACAAGTTTTGTACTACCATACCTCATACCAAGGGTGGAAAGGTGCTTCCTCACAAAATCATCAACCAAAACAGGTTCGCAAATGGGTCACGGGACGGGAGGGTGGGGCTCGCTTGACTCTATTGGCCATTTCGGCTGGTGGTTGGAACCAAAAGGAGTTCTTGGGCACTGCGCTTGAAGAGTTGCAACCGGGGATGCCTTTTGCAGCAGAGCCCCTTGTGTGCCTCCCCTTTGACAGAAAGCAAGGGGCATGGCAGCCAGCATCTCATCTTCCCAGAGAGCACGTTTAGACACCGAAGCCAAGAATTGCTTCTTTGAAGGCCCCCAAGTGTGTGGGTCGGTGTCCCTTTTGACTACCCTTTAGAACACCCAAACAAGGGCCACCTCAAGAGAGACACACCCTTCCCGCACACCGGGCAATCTGCATTTGTTGTTGCACCGGAACCCTCCAAGTGATCATTGCTAGAAACCAGCTTCCAACGCGCACATGCCTTGGGGGAATTCTTGGAGGACTTTCCAAGCTTCACTCGCATGGCCTGTTTGCATAAGAGGCGCAGATGCAAAGAGGCGCAGATGCCCTGGAACTGAGCACATCGCCCCGGTAACATGAGAAAGGTGGCCCTAGGCGTGTTCATACTGTGTCTGGACAAAATCCAGAAAGTGCACCACTTTGAATCCATGGGATTGAAACCATAGTTTGTTGGTATGCACAGGGACACCTCTGAGGCAAAGGGGTTCTGGGGGCAACCCGCTGAGAAATGAAGCCACATTGCTTTGCCTTTGGAGAACGGATGGCAAGAAGCGGTCAACAAGATTGTTCCGTTGCAGTGCCCTGCACGCCTGGCGGTTGGCCAAAGATAAAAACTGATTTTTGGCTCCGGTCAAAGTTGGGATTATCCTTCCGTGTGCTTGACATGTTGCTTCTCACTTCCTGAGTTCATGGACTTAAAACTGTTTGGGTTTGGGACCATTTTAGTTGTAAGCAAAAACATGTGACGTGTTTGGCCAATCCAGTCGATCGGAAGTGAGACTTTGGGTGTTTCTTCTTAGCTTCGATTCGCGAATCGCAATCACGGACTTCACAACACCCAGCTCCAATCATGGACTCACCTCCCAAGTTGCTGGACTCTTTGGAAGGCATGTTTTCTTTGTTATCCGTTGAGGAAGTGCCCATGCTAATTCAGACTCACTTGTCCAAAGCGAGTGGACCTTTTGACCTTTTGGTTTTCCAATGTTGGACCATTGTTGCTGGCCTCAAAAGGTGATCACCTTTTAGTTCCAAGTCCCTTGGGCCGAGCAGAGCCAATACGAGCCATTGAGGCCGAGTCTTTCTTTGTGCCGTTTTGGTGGGCCATCCGGGATGTTCCATGGCTCCCCTTGCTGGGCGGAACCCAGTTCCTCCCAAACAGGAACTTGCACAGGGGCCCTTTGAAGGGAGAAGGATCTTGGAGGTCCTGTGCAGGTTGTATGCTTGGTTGATTCGGGGGGTGCTCGCCTCCAAAAGTCGCATATGAATCCCCACGAAAAAGGAGGACACCGACGCCCCCTATAAAGCAACCAAAAGCCTGGATCGCCCGTTGCTGCCTTTTTTTCTGCCGTGAACTTTACTCCAAAACCAATCGGCAGCAGTGGCTGGAAAAAGCAGCAACTTGGCGAGCTAGGAGGTTTATTAAGTTGGGGTCAACATTCGGGGGGCATTTTTCGGGGGGCTGCGGGGTGGGAGGGCCAGCCTGGATAAGTCAAAGGACAAGCCTTACCCTGAATGAGCACCTTAGTAAGGGGCTAATACCCCCCCTCCCCATACACCCTCCCCATACACCCCCTTAAGACTCTGTAAATGCAAACAGTTCTATCCATCAGATCCATCGACTCGCCGGGATGTGTTTTCCTCCCACCGACGGAAATCAGAAAACGCAGGAGAGCTTCTCCTTGCCGCTTGGCCTGCAAGAGCGCCTTGCTTTGCCCCCCTTCCTTTTGTCCACACCACCTAAGATATGGGTATGGGTCAAAATTACACCAGGGGACCGCAGGTTGTATTTCATGTTTTCCATTTAATTACCAGGGCTCCATTTTGGGTACCTATTTTTGACCCACACCCAGTTTTCCATGGGTTTAAAGTGGTGCGAACGGAGTTCGGCCACAGCATCCGTCTCAATATGTCAGATTCTTTGCAGGCTTGCAGGACATCCCAAAAACCTGGTGAGATAGGGAATGAGGGAATGAACCCAGCCCAGGCTTGGTTCGCTTCAAGGAACCCAGTTGGATGGTCTTCGGGGGTCACATTCCATATTCGCTTCTGAGCACCAGCAAGTCCCCCCCCCTTCTCAAATTGGGCTTACATTGAGTTCATTGAAGAAACACGATTGGCCTAGATTGCCGCCCTCTTGGGAATGGAATGAAATTTGTTTTATTTGCATTTGTTGATTGTTTGTGTTTGCCTGCTTGCTTGCTTGGTTGTTTATGTGCACCTTGGGTTGACATTAATATTTTTTTAACATGCCGATGCACATTCAAGCACAACTTGGGTCCGCTGCGTTCAGAAACTCAAAGCCTGGGCCTGAATCTTACTGGGTGTGTCTCTTTTGGAGGGTACCCAGCTGCTTGTGTAGTGTTAAAGGAAAACCAAAAGGGAGCCCAAAAGGAAAGTCACATTTTTTGGACCCCCCAACAAATGACACACCCACATGTGGCTTTTGATTGGTACAAACGGCTTAGGGCATTGAGGATGGTACGGAGGACCCAGCTCCAAGGGGATCCTTACAACCACGCGGGTGTGTGCCAAATAGCTCACTCCCTAAGTTTCTGTACTTTTGTCACGGTGTGGATTTTAGTGATAAGCAAAAAGTCATGACCTTTGTTGGGCGTATGCATTCAAGAAGTGAGATACGACACTCCCCCCAAAAAAAGGAAAAGAAACAAGATATACAAAAAGGGAAGTGCATTTGTTCCTTTTGGTTCTCATTGAAATACTGCCACAAGGGGGGTCCACCATTTAGACAAACCCCCGACATTGTTCGCCTGGGCCGTTTTGAATGCCCAAGGATAAACGGCCACCAACCAACCCATCCAAACTACAAGTTCGAAGGGTATCACTACAAAGCAGTTTTGTATCCAGAATGTTCAGGACCCCCAGCATGTTTGTGTCCAAAAGGTTTAGGGCCGGGGGCCGCAGGTTTTAGTCGACTTTTCCATGTAGGGCTTTAAGTTGGACACCATGTTTTGAGCCCCACACATATCTCCAATGCTAAGATTAAATATGGTACTGCTGAAGTGCGGGCTCTGGAGAGACTACTTGGCTTTAATGCGTGCCACTTGTACATGACAGAGAGACATGGCTTTCACTCAAATTTGTTTCCGCTGCACTGCACCCAAAGGAAAACGTGGCTACATCATCATTGTGTACAGTAGCAGTCATGCAGTATCGAATTTGTATCCAAAGCGATTGTTTTAGTTGCTTGTTTTTGTTGAAGAGCCTAGTTAAACCATTTAGCGTACACGTATGTTCTGGGTAGATAGGAGTTGCAACCACCCACCCACCCACCCACCCACCCACCCACCCACCCACCCACCCACCCACCCACCCACCCACCCACCCACCCACCCACCCACCCACCCACCCACCCACCCACCCACCGTTGCTTCCGCTGAGGGGCCGGGAGACCTCGCGAGAGGTGGCCGCAGCTTGGACCAAGTGGCCGGAAAGCGCTTGCATTTTCCAGATGAACGGGAGGAACCCAAGAAGGGGGCCCCATTTCCTCACTTCCTGAGTTCCCGGACTTTTTGGGTTTGGACCATTTTAGTGGTGTTGGATTTTTGTTTGTCCAATCAACTCAGGAAGTGCGTTTTCCAAGAGGAGCGCCCTGGTTTCTGAGTTCTATGTCAATGTGTAGAGGAGTGAAACAACTTTGGCTTGTCCGCTAAAGGTCCTAAAGGTGATCAACCCTTTGGCCGGGAACGAGCAAGTCCGTCCTCTACTAAATCCATTGAGCAGACCTTTGTTACCCCGTTTTGAGGGGTTCAAACCCCGTCTTAGGGGAGGTGAGAAGGCAAACTGAATGCCTCTCGATTCCTCAGGCACCCAAGTTTTTGGACACCCTTGAGATTGAGGACGCCGCCTTTCGTAGCCCTTCTCTCGCCTTTTTTTGGGGGAGGGTCCCCTGCTAGAATAGACTACAGAAAAAAAGGTACCCTTATTCTAACTGGAGCACCTAGTGGTTGTTTTGGACCAAGCTTGCTAGTGCGATAGGGACTGCCCCAAGCTTTGGGGAGTGAACCGGAAGGGAACCAGTTGGATGGTTTTTGGGGATCAGTCCTTCCCTGAGACCATCAAGACAATATACAGCTACATCTTTCTTTATTAAAGGGACGTTTCCAGGTATCGGCTTTGGAGCTGAGGTTGCATACCACTTCAGGCGAAGCCATCGAGGATAGTTTTTTGTTTTTTTCATTCCCTGCCTATCAAAAGCAAGCAAAGGGACAACCTAAGTTGGTGCTGTTTGGTATACCACTTAAGGGGAAACCATGGGGGATAGTTTGTTGATTCCCTGCCTATCAAAAGCAAAGGGACAACCTAAGTTGGTGCTGTTTGGTGGCCAGGCATCCGAGGCGCAGCGGGCAAAGGAGCCAAATGGGAAGGGAAAGGGGAGGTGTTCATGCACAGAGTTGGATGCAAGTCTTTGGGTCCGGGGGTGCAAAAAAGAAATGTTTGGCTTGGACAAGTTCGGGATCCCAGCAGTCTTGTTTCACAACTTGTGAGTTGTTATTTGTCCTTGTTTTTGCTGCTATAGGTGTCCTTTTGGGTTGTTTTGGTGGAACATTGATTGGTTCTGGTTGGGCAACCAAGCCTGGGCTTCTGAAAAAGGCATTTGCAAGGGTCTCATGGCAAAACACATGCGTATACACATGCGCGCGCATACACATACACATCGGATCATCGGCATGATTGTACATGTATGCAACTCAGCATGCCTACATCAACAGATCCCTTGAGGGCGTGGCAGCCCTCCAGCCAAGACATACCCACTTTGCGCTTGCCGTGCATCCTGGGCTGGGCCTGGTCAGTTTTGGGCAGTTCGCACAGGGCCCACGGCGGATTCCGGCTACATATGGGGCAGGTAAACCAAGCGCCATTTGAAAAAAGGAGTCCTAGAACGATTGACTTTACGTGCTACGTGAATCAATCATTTTAGTGTGACCGTCGACGGGTGCATAGCGTGCTTCATGGAAAACCACACCCGGACCTCCAAACCACCGCTGAAGCTCTTGGTTTCGAGTTAAGATGGTTCGGAAGCAACGAGCCTCGCGGTGTGCGGTTGGGAGGACTTGGACATGTGCCAAATGGAGCTCGGCGCGGCAGAGGCGAGCTCGACAGCGACTTTTGGAACTCACCCGGTGGCTGTGTGGCTAATGTTGACCCCGTATGAATCAAATACTAGGGGGGTGAAAACCCCTCCAAAAGCGGTCTGATTCCCCACCTTTCATCCAGGGACACCGGGACCCCTACTAATAAACTGGGGCTGACTGACATAGGGTCACAGTAGTGGACTGGACCTGTAGACTTGAACTTGTTGGCTGAAATCAAGTTGATTTGCGAATTGAACCCACAAAAGTCAATACTTTTTGCAGCGGGGTCCACAGCAAGGAGGGTGTGTGTGTGTGTGCTTTTTGAGTGTGCCCCTAGTTCCAAGAAAACCGGCAGCAAACTATGAACTCGCATCGGCGTCGTGATGGCAAATTGAAGGGCAGTAATTGGGTGTGTCTTCATAGGACCCGCCAAAATGCCGCAACGGTTTGATGTCGGTTTAGGGGTAATTACTCTACCGCTGTTGGGTTGGATCTTTAGACTTTAACTGTTTGGAAATAATATATATATATATATATATATATATATATGTATTTAACGATTTTTGGACCAGCCAATTGTTTGGTTTATGTATATATTTAACCAGAAAATTGTTAAAACTTTTTGCTGGGGGGCCTACAGCGCCAAAGGTTAGCCGCAAAGAAGAAAGGAGAGACTGAGCGGAAACCGACGGCCCGTGCATGGGATGAGGCTTCTGGATTCGAGTGGTTTGGAGTGGCCGGGTGGCATGGCCCATTGGGCATCGGACAAAGCTAGTTTGTGGGGGGGGGGGGGGGGGCTGGGATATGTTTTTTTTTGTTTTGCTTGTGTTTTGCAGACCCCCCGTTCAGCACCCAGTAAATCACCTAGTAAAACTTGCATTTGTGTAAGATTTCCCCTGTTGGTTTTTAAGGGAACCTACTGTGGATGGACGAAATCCTGCACCACCTAAGACACCCTGGAATGATGGTTCCCCTGTAAATACCAGCAAGCAATGGTTTCCCATGGTTTCAAAGTGGTGCAGGATTTCGTCCATCCACAGTATCACTACTGGACATACTGTGGATGGACGAAATCCTGCACCACCTAAGAAACCCTGAAATGATCCCCCTGTACATGCCAACAGACACTGGTTTCGCATGGATTCGGAGCGGTGCGAAATGGATTTCGTCCACCCACAGTATGTGTATTTTGTCCAGGGGGCGAATAAGCACATGGAAGAAAAGGTGGCTTCTTGGGAGCAGTCGAGCCGAGCGCAGGATGAGGTGCAGAGGCAGCTGCTGGAAGAAGCGAGGCTTCGGAAGGGGCTACGAACATAGGTGTCCTTTTTGGTTGTGTCGCTTAAAATATAGAAGGCCCTGGTTTACCTGGTGGTTCCAACATTCGCCAGGGCCATCTATTTTCCAAAAAGGACACCTGTGGCTGCGAACGACACCCATTGGTTGCTGTTGGGCCGTTGGGCCATGTCGCTTCGAAGTTCGCGTTGGTCTCAGTGGCCGAAAAGGGAATCAACCTTCTGACTTTTTAGTTTCCCCTTCATGGCCACACAACTTGGTGATTCCATCCATCCACCGGGGTTTGGAGGGGGGTATCGATTCTTCTGGCAGATTTTGGATTGGCCAACATTCGTCACGGCCCCGCCTCAACCACTTGCTTGTCAGGTCCTTGAAATCCATGCAATGCAGCATTCTTTATAGCTATTTGATTAGATGTTTCGAGTTTAACTTTGGAAAACATCGGGTTCTCCATCGGACCACAAAAAAGTGAAAACATGCAGAGGGGTCAACAGCAACCCAGCATTGATGATCTTCGGGAAAGGACTAATTGACATTTGATATCGGATTCACAAGGCAGATGTGCATAAGTGGAGTCCTAGGAAGAGCCGCCGAACGGACACACTCCTGATTAAGTTGACACTTGTTGCTTGATCAGGGGATAACATTGCCAGTTGCATTTCCTTGTCTCGCTTTCTTGTTTAGGTCCCAAAAGGTTAGCCTTTCATGTTCAGATCTTTTTGGCAGCTGTGCAATACGCCGGGTGCTCACCCGAAGGGAATGGAAGAGATCTGTTGTCCAAAATCTTCCCCCCTAAGAATCGTAATTTGAGGGGGGGGGGGAGGGGTACCCCAGTGAAATTTCCTTTTTTGTTGCACTTTTCAGGGGGGGGTGGTTGTGAAACACGGAGGAGGTAGTGAAACACGGTTGTGACAACCTGCATTTGCCCCGTGTTCTTTCAAAGCACGACCACCCTGAGGCATAGTCACAGCTTTAATCTTGGGAAAATGCGCTGGTTTGGGGGATGGCGATGAATGAAACCGGGGGGCCTCTCCAATAAAGCGAACCTTCTCCAAACGTCTCCCTTTGGCACAAAGGAAGTCATGTGGCTGTGTAGTTTTTCAAGGGGACCCTCCCAAATTGGGGGGGGGGCCTTTTGGTTGCCATTAACAACCCACAAAATTCAGACAGGGCGCCCTCAAAACAAAATAGGCGAGCCATCCACGCAGACGGCCAAAATTCTCAGGCGGAGCCAGGGCGAGTTGCTAAAGCAGCTCCACCAGGCCCATGGGCGCGGGCGAGGCCTCAAAACCGCGCATGGGTGAAGCTGAGCTTCCATTTGGCTGAGCTTTGAGTGTACGCTGTGGGCCCTTAGCCATGGTTGTTGTTGCGAAACATTTTTACATTTTGGCTTATTGTGGTTTAGTGGGAATTCCAACCGCTTACCTGCTAAAATTTGAATTGTTGCTCCCCTTCCAACGTCAACCAAGTGAGTGTTTTCCATGCGAAATCGTTTTTTTTTCTACAGACGCGCAAACAGGTTCTTTCAAGGCAAACCAACTGATTCAACACCAATCCGCACCTCAATAACTCCACATTCTCAACTGAATACGGTTTTTTTTTTTTTTTTTTTTTTTTTTTTTTTTCGTTTGCCCTGTTGGTGTTAAAGGGGATCAACCTCACTGCTGGAAGCATGTTCTCTGTTTTTTTTGTTTTTTTCCTTTCCTGGGGGCGAAAAAACAATTTGAAGACGAAGGTTACTCACTCCCATAGGGAAAAAGGGTTACAATAGAGATCTCCAGTGGTCGTTTTCTTCCCTTCCCCCAAGTCCATGTTTAAAGGGTCGGGGATGCGCAAGGGCTTACTCACTGCCTGAGTGCCCGATTCACACTCAGAACATGGTATTAACGTGGTTCACCCAGAACCCATGGTTGGGATTATCCCGTACTAACCTCGCTTCCTGGATGGGCCAAACCCTCAACAGTAGCCCGGGGTTATGAATCAAATCTGGCAAAACCAGCATTTCCCAATAGCTGGCAATGGGTACTTGGATGTCTTACTTGCCCAAAGCGATTTAACCTTTTGACCGTTTGGTTTCCCCTTTTTGGGTTTCCATGTTTACTCAAATTTAATTTCTGGGTTCTTTGGGCAACTGAGGTGTTCCGCCAAGTTAGTGAGTGGTCAGCCCAGGTGATATCCCACTTACAAGTTCCCCAAGTGAGGTCAACTTGCCCGAACACCCAAGTAAATAATATTGGTGATTGGGGCACCTCAAAATAAATGGGCCATTATACATTTGCTGCATTTCTTTCTAGGTTCTTAGCATGTTGTATGGTTTTTAGATTATTGGTTCTGTTCAGTTTTATTGGCGGGCTGCAAAAAACAGTGTTTTGCTACCATACCAAGAGTTGTAGAGTCCCCTTTTTGGGCACACAAATGTAAAGACCTGGAGGTCCGGGGCGTTTTCCGTTGACCCTGCGGGTCGCCACGTGTTGGAGAACCTCCGTTGGGGGCAGGAGCCTTTAGTACGGGTGTGTCTCGTTTAATTGCTGACTCACTCCCCGAGTTGTTGGACTTTAGTCACTTTTGGGGGTTGGAGTATGTCAGTGGTACACAACAAGGATGGTATGGACTGTCTGTTTGTCCCATCCACTCAAGCGAGGTATGCAAAAACCTGTCCCAAGAAAGGCACCCACCAAGGAGTAAGGAGGACAGAACTTCGGAAGGAATCAATTGGCCACATGAGCCACAATCAAAACCCAGGTAGATGAAGGTTAGTAAGGGACAATCCCAACCAAAAATAGCTGCGGCCGCCTTCTTAATCCTGTACATGGTTCTGGGTTCACCATTTTTGTACCAGGTTTTGATTGCGACTCACATGACACAAACAGGCAAGGTTTCAACAAGGACACGTCTTCTGTTTGGCATATCTCACGAGGTAGATCCCAGGCAAGCCCATGTAGGGACACTATTGTGGATGGACGAAAGCCATTTCGCACCACCTAAGAAACCCTGGAATGAGTCGATTCCCCTGCAAATACGAACGAACGTTGTGGATTCCAAGTGGTGCGAAATGGATTTCGCAACCGTCCACATTAGTTTATGTTGTGGATGGCCATGACTGCTTAAACACGGCTAATTACCTTCCTTGAAACTTCAATCAGTGGTCCCTAATTGAAAGTACGAGTTGTTACTCATGTAGGTTAGTTTAAACAAATAAAAATGTGAAGCCACAATCAAACCTAGGCAAGTGAAGGTCTACAGGTGAGATTCCCAACCACTTGTTTTTTTAAGATATGTTCATTTGCCCTGTTGGTTCTTCACACAGACATCTAGGACCTCTCGGAGACACCTCGGACTTTGGCGCCGATGCGGCCGCGGATTGTCCCGCGTGGCTTTCCCCGCGTTTTCCTTTCGATCGCAGGCGAAGCAGCGGGAGGAGGAGATCGAAAAGGAGCCGGGGGTCGAGATGTGGTTTCTGCCGATCGTTTTACGTAAGCTTTCAACCGGGTTTATTTTTTCAGGGATCTATCATTTGGACATATTTCTTCATGTTTTGAAAGGGACTGATATAAGCAAAGGGAGGAAGTTGCTTGTCTCCCTTTCACCAGGGTTTCCGAGCCGTTTAACCTTCAACAGTGGCAGTTTTCAAGGGACACCACCCGTAAATTGATCAACTTTTGAGGGGGAAATCCAGGGACCACTGTTCAACTAAGCTTTCAAAGGTGTCTTGTTTGCCCTCTTGTGCTGCCGGCCTTTCTTGCATGAGGCCGGTTTCCTCACACTGGGAGGTTCTTACGGTAGGAGTTAAGGCGGGGTTAGATCGAGGGTTCGCGCTCAAAGGGAAATGTTGATTTGGTGGCTGAAACAGAAGCCACCCACCAGAGTAATTTTAGGTTGGTTCTTGTCACTTGCCTGGACCTTCCATTGTTACATAGCAGGGCCACGGGAGAAAAAAACACCTGCTCGGGACAACTAGTTTTGCCCAGTGATCCAAAAAGTGCTGGTTTGCAAAAAACGCTGGATTCATGAACACGGGCTTCTTGAAAAATAGCAATTCTTACACAATTTGGATTTGCGCTGCCTGTTTTGCGGGTATGTTTCCACATGTTGCCACGCAACATACTGTATGAGAAGAGAGAAGCCGCCGCAATAGCCAAATTTGCGCCCGTTCCCCCGCAAAACGCCCGATCAGCAAATTTCTGCTACGAAACACCCCAGGGACACAAATTTGTGTAACGAATGAAGGTCAGGGTTTATTAGGGGGCTGCAAAAAGCTTTTTGGTTTGTTGCCATGCCGTTTGGGCTGGAGAGGTTGGAAAACCCTGCTAAAAATGAACAGCACCAAACAACCACACCTGGACTTGCCAACAGCAGTGAACCCCCCAGCTTCTTTTTTGCGCGGGGGTTCCATGAGACTCAGAAGCTGTTCACTTTTAGCAGGGGATGTTCTTCACTTTTAGCGGATCAGAAAACGGACAGGTCAGTTTACCGGACCCTTGCATTGCTGAACAAAGCAGTTGCACGTTTTGCTCAACCGACAGACCCGTTGCCGACCCGAGGACTTTCTGGCAGCGGAGTGGCAAGTTCGGATGGTGCCTCGCTCGCTCTTGGATCGAAGCTTCGAAGCGGCTTCGACCGCCGCGAAGCGCCCGTGTCGTTTGCTAGGTCCCCCAGCTAGGTGCCCTTTTACCCTTTTTCGGGTGAGGGTGTTCCCCTACTAAAATAGACTACAGAAAAAAGGGCACCCTTATTCTAACCTCTCTACTGGCGGACCTAGTTTGAGGGTTTGAAGGAAGGAATTGGTTATACACCGCTCACAAGCGTGCATTTTCCCGTTCGCCACATTGCAAAGCAGGAGTTAAAATGGGGACCACCCAATTTTCCTTAGATTCGCCGTGGTTTTGTGCGGTGTGGGTGGGGTTGGTTGACTTGCAAAATGCTAGGGCATCCTTTGTCCAAGCGAAGGCAAAGGCAACAACCCGCTTTAAGGGGCCCTGTTTGGAGAAACCTCCATGCGGGTGTGCCCTTGTTTGAGGGTACCCCTTTTTTGTGGTTTTAACGGAGACCCAACAGGAAACCCCGCCCCCTGAAACAGTATCCATGACCCCAACAGGTGCAAAAGACGGCCTTTGTTCTGTCTTGAGGCTGCTTATTGGCCAAACAGGGGGGCCAGAACAATTGTAAGCGGGTAACTTGCCAAACAAGGGAAACAGCAGGAACACAACTTATGCAAAGCAGACAAATAAAAACAACGTGAACGCAACTTGCAAAGCTCACCCAACTTACAGAAAAAAGAAAGGGAGCCAAACGACTGGAAAGGGGAAGCAGGTCCTTAAGGAAACACCTCGCTGGGAAAGTTTGAGGCTGAGGGAGGTGGGTGCAAGGAAGGCCCCTTAACGAGGTCTCTTTTTTGAGTTGGTACTTTTTGTTTGGTGGTTGTTAAAAGGGAAACCTAAAAGGAAAGCTGTTGCGCCATTTTGGGTCCCCAAAAACACCGACCCTTTTTACTTGGCAACATTGCGACAGTTTTCGGGAACCCGTCCCGCACATGTTCCGTGATTTTCCACTAGACAAAGAATTCCTGTACAGCTGTAAGTAGGTACCCAAAATGGAGCCCTGGAAAATGAAACCAAGGACTATCATGGGTAAAGTTTTCGTTGGGCCACGGCTTCTCCCGTGCACCCTTGCCCACTGCTGGGCTCAACTCTGGGCTACATAAGACATGCTTCCTGATTCTGCTTCATACTTAGACCCAAAAATAGAACATACCCCCTGCAAACTAACATGGAACCCGAAAAGTCTCAAAATGTGGTTTTCGAAAAGGAGATTCCTCAAACGATGGAAGATGTTTCTGGGATCCTCTCCAACTCTTCGTACGGGAACAAACAACAACATTTGTTGCAGTGTACCAAAATTAGAAGAGAACCAAACAACAGTTAAACACATGATCCAACAACAGTGAAGTGCACCCCAAAACCAAATTGAGGCCATTATGATCTATCTATCCCAGGTCGCTCAGCACATTCTTGGCCAGGAACGTTGCACGGTGCACATTCGAAGGCGGATTTTTTCGTTTTGAGTGCCATTCATGTGAGTCGGCTTGTCCCTGAAAGTGCCCACAGAAAGCTTCAGAAAGGTCCCAACGGTCCTTCGAATCCCTTTTGAAAGGGTCCTTCCCAATAGTTAAGCAAACCAATCACTTCCAAGCACCAAACTCCGGAGTAAAATCAGCAAACTTCCCGAGCAGATCCCGGCGTCTCCTTAGAACATATCTTAGACTTTTAGGTTGAGGCAAGTTGGGGAACAAGGAAACCTCCCAATCTACTGCAATTTGCCACGGTGTGGTTGGATTACTTGCAAAATGGCAAATTGGAAACCCGCCGGAGAACGTGATTTTTGTTTCACTCCGTGAGGTTCCTGGACTTTGTACCTGTTGGGAAGCCCATTTGAGAGGTAAACCAAAGTTTGGGCCTTCTTCTGACCAATCCACTCAGGGCGTGAGTTGTAGAGTCCCTAGCATGGGTCAACCCTAGGGGCCGTCCCCAACATGTTCCTTCCGTTTCGTGTGGCATGCCACCCAAGGACTGCGCACACCAAGTGGAGGCCCAAATGCTGGTGGCAGAGCTGTCGCAACAGCGTGCAGAGGAGCTCCCTGGCCAAAGGAAGATGCTGAGCGATGTTTAGACCCAACCTTTTGACCATTTGGCTTTCCTATTTTGGTGCATATGTAGTCATGGCCCCAAAAGCTTAACCTTGTATTCCCAGATCCTTGGGGCAACTGAGTACAATTTAGACGTTTAGTACTTTTAGCAAAAGATATGGGGACGGCCCAGGTTAAAGTGATCGATTGTTTCCCACAATTGGTGCAGTAAGATCGAAGATGACCGATCAGTTTACTAGAAAAGCTTTGCAAATTCAGCAGATCCACATACTCTACTTCACTGTTCTTGGCATGATTTTTTAGTTTTTTAGTTTTTTTTGGTTCTGTTCATTTTTACTGGTGCTCTGCCAAAAACAAAGTTTTTAGCTACCATACCAAGAGTAGACTGCTTTTCCTCACTCCCTGAGTTCCTGGACGTTACACTAAGGCCATTTTGGTGGACAAGAAGCTTGAACTTTTTCTTGGCCAGTCCACTCGGGAAGTCAGACCCGTGATATTTTTTGGCGTTTGCCGGTCCTTCAGGTGATCCAAGAGCCTCATCCTTAGGTCCTGGGGGGTCTCAGAACTTTTATGTCCGAGAGGTTGACCACGAAACAGTCTGAAAAGGGCCCCCCTCACGGTCGTTAGGAAACATTTGAACCATTTTTGCTCATTGTGGTTTAGTGGGAAGTCCCCTCTGAACAGCTAAAATTTAAATGTTAGCTCCCCTTCCAACGTCAACCAAGAAAGAGTCCCCCTATCAACACATGGAAACAAATGTTGCGACAAGGGGTGTTGACTCGCAGGGTGCTTGAGGATTAGCCTGAGGTTGGAGGGCATGTGCCAGCAGCGTGCAGAGACGGCCGCATCTTGGCAGTGGGGTCGGGGGAGCGTTGCTGGCTGGCTCCTTTGCCGTTTATATCCTTTGCCGTAAAAAAAAAAAAGGAGAAAAAAAACAAGAACAGAGGAAAAACCTGACAGGTGGTAGAATTCGTGGTAGGTGGCACGCATTTGATAGTAACCCCCCGCAGTGCAACAGGGAATCCCCAAACACGCCACGTTTTAGAGGAATCTCCTTAGGGACTCCTTTCTTGGGTTGATTGCGTTATTTTTTTTCGGGGAGGAGCCCTGTTCCCGGGCAAAGTCAGCGAAGGTAAAACTCATTGACCCCCTTCAGTGGTGCCCAGGTACTTCCATGAGATGCTCTTTTAAGTTGATTTCAAGCTGGACTAGGCAGCAGGGTTCGGGTTTGGGTTTAGTATGTAGTATGTAGTTAGTTTCGGGCAGGTTTAGGCTGGTTAGCGATGGCTTAGTGCTGCGTAAGTGCGTATTTGGGGTATTTGCTTTTCAGGTGCTGGATTCTTGCTTGACCCAAAGCCGACCTTTTGACCTTTTGTGCTTTGTCTGGGTTTTTCAGCAATTGGTTCCCTTTTTAACCCCTTTTTGGAGGGAGAGGGTTTGGGACCCTACTAAAATGGGCAAAACCGACAAACAAGTTGGTACCAACTTCATCGAACCTCTCCACTGGAGGAAAGAAAAAGTTGGGTACCAACTTATTCTAACCTCTAGAATCCCAAGATTCAGGGGCTATGACCCCTTTTTCTAGGGGTCATGGGCACTCTAGGTACCAACTTATTCGAACCTCTCAAATCTGGACCTGGTTCACTGGTCCGGTCCCAAAAGGTGAGCCGATTTTGTATTTCTGGAACTCCTGTGGGCTGAGCGGAAATTTCCAGGTGGGTTGAGTCCGCGTCCATTCTTCTCAACCATCGTTCTTTAAAAAACGGCGGTTTCCATCTGGGTGTCTGGTTTCAACCATCACTTAGCTCTTAAAAACACAACTTTTCAACTTTTTGGGGGTAACATGGGCTATGTGTCTGTAAAAGATTAACTTTTTCAGGGCTTGGAGTTTTAAGGGGTAAGATCATGATTTTCAATAAGAACGGCTGTTTCCATCTGGGTGTTTGGTTTCAAGCATCATGATTTTCAAAAAAAAGAACGGCTGGTTCCATCTGGGTTTTTGGATGGTTTCCTGAAAAGATTCGGATCCCTGGAAAGAATGGAAATGGAAGGCAACCGGAGAAGAATAGGCTTGATGTTCCCTTTGTTATTTTCAAGTTTTAAAATTTAGAGGGGGGAAGTCAAGCATATTCTGGAAGCACATGGATTTGACTACGGAAATCTGAGAAGGCAGAAAAGTCAACTTTAAGGGGGTCAGAGAAATGGTCCACCCCAGTTAGTGGACAGGGTATCCTTTTTGGGGGTTGGGTTTAAAGGGAATCGGTTTGACTTCTGGAATGTTTGTCTGTTTTTTCTCCAGGGGACGAATCAGCAAATGGAGGTTGTTGTTGTTTTGTTTGGAGAGGGTGTCGCTTGAAGGTCAGTACCTAGAGTCTCCGTGACCCCTAGAAAAGGGGTCATAACCCCTGAATCTTGTGGTAACGACCCTATGTGATTTAAGCGTAAATAGGGGAAGCCCCGCCATTCTTTCGGGGAGCACCCCACCACCTGCCACTCGCTTTGGACCAATATTCCAGGTAGTTTCCATTACTCCGGCGTTGCTCTGCGCGTTTTTTGCTTATAATATAAGAACTTGGCAGGCATAGACTCACCTCAAACATTCTTGTCATCCCTTTATTCTGAGAGTTTCTCAGTGTTTGGTTGCCCGAAGATGTCTTAGCTAGGTCCCCCAGCAATTGGTGCCCTTTCTCACCCCTTTTTGGTTGGGAGGGTTCCCCTACTAAAATAGACAAAGCAGAAAAAAGTTGGTACCCTTCTTCGAACCTCTCCGCTAGAGGAAAGAAAAAGGTTGGTACCAACTTATTCTAACCTCTCGAATCCCAAGATTCAGGGGTTATGACCCCTTTTCTCTAGGGGTCATGGAGACTCTAGGTACCAACTTTTTAGAACCTCTCAAATCTGGTAAAACAATGGTTGGGCTCATATAACCACCATGGTTTACCTATGGTCATCATCCAAATTGGGTTCATTAAATAACCACCATTGTTTACCTAAGGGTCAACCTTTCTTTTAATGGGGGTTGAACCCCAGGGTGGAGGACTCAGTTAAGCAAACAGCCGGGTCGGATTTTTTTCGGCCACTTGGAACTTGCCCAGGCGCTTGCCCAGGAGGCCTCACGAGGAGAGAGCGGGCTCCGTGTTTCGTGTTTTTTTTTTTTTTTTTGGTGTGTGTTTCCCCCCCCCCCCCCGGTTTTTTTGTTTTTGTTTTTTGTCTCTTGTTGTTTCTCTCTTTGTTTTCTTGTTCTTCTTCTTTTTTTCTCTTGTTTGTGTTAGTTCGTGTTTGTTGTTTCTTCTTCTTTTTTTTCCCTCTGGTGTTGTTGTTGTCGTTTTCTCTCTTTTTTGTTTCGTGTTTTTTGCTTTTCTTCTTGGGCGCGCTGCACCTGACGAGTTGTTGGTGGAATCGAAGCTTCCTTCCATACTCGAAGCAATAAAGCATCAAGGGTAGCAGATCTGGATGACTAGATGCTAGGCTCTTTTGTGTGAAGGGTTGTGGTTCCCTTTGGCTGGTTTTGTTCTATCGAACCAACTGGGGGTTCATACCGGCGTTTTGGACTGGGGCTTTGTACATGATATTCACCCCTTTGATTTCCTTTGGAATCTTTCGGGCGCAAGTCGCGCGTGTTGCGAGTTCTGACTGCTTTTTTGCAATAGCTGGTGGTTGGACGGAGCCGTTTCGGAGCTGGGTGTCCAAATTGGCCTTTGACGAGGGAGAGGTTCAGGAGCCACCGGGAGTTCTGATTAGGGCATGACAGCTCAACTCATGCCAACAATCTGGGCAGCTTTTACTCCAATGACTTGTTTGCCCTGAGAGTCATGACCTCCCCCGGACTCTTCGATGGAGAACCCCGGCCAATTCCTCAGCGGCCCTTGAAAACAAGGTCACGGCGCCGCTAGCGACCGTGGGGCCTCGCAACACCATCATTGCCTAGGTCAAAGCCAAACCTGTGGCAATTGCCACTGCAGTTTCAAGAGTGGCAGGTTGAGGCATTGTCTCACGTGCTGTGTTTTGCAGCACTTTTATCATATTTTCTGCCTTTCCCAATTGAGCGCAGCACGCTTGCTGCCACACTTCGCGCGCTGCTACCTTTTTTTCGGCTGCCGTTCTTGCCTGTTTGAGCGGCTCTTCTGTCTACACAAGTTGAAGACTACGCCTGTCTGAGATTCTTGTTCTCCTGTTGAACATGCCTATCGACTCAAGCCAATGCAAGCAGACGCAAGAACAGCTGGGTTCTGGTGGGTTGAACGCCACTGCAAGTTGACCATAACAACTGTTGGGTTCTGGCAACCTGCACACACAACAGACCTGTGAGGCATGATGCCCAAGTGCCACAGTCAGCTCAAATGTCAGTCATTGCGCGCAGGTGTATGTCCGTCTATGTGACTATGTCTGATCAGTCTGTTTGCGCGAGAAAAGCGGCCTGTGATGGCCTGTGCATGAACAGCGTGCGCAAGGACTGTGTGTGCGCAGAGTTTCCGGCACGCACGGCCGGCGTGAGCGTGCGTCTGTCTGCATGTGTGTGTGCATTGGCTGTCGCATAGTCCACATGTTTGAAAGCACCGAACCACCCCCCCCCACCCCCCCAACACCAAAAAGTGGCTTGAGAGCTTATGGTCGCTAATGAGCAAAAACAACCAGCTTTGAGCACCCAAAAGCAGTCGGTTGATTCTGATTGGGGGGGGGGGGTAGCTTATTCCCTCTTCTGGACTCGAGGCTAGGGTGCATGGCCTTTCCCAGGAGCCGATGCCCAGGCAGACGCTCTGCGGATGCTCGGTCCAATAATATTTCTTGAGTGAGCCCCATGGAAACGGCTGCCAGGAAGAGACACTCAGAGTCACTCAATAAGAAACCGGCCGCAGGCTGGGTCCCTGCACGCGTGGCTTTGGCTGTCGGCAGCAAATTCTTCACTTGTCTCGCTTAAGCGAAGCGACCTTTTGACCTTTTGACCTTTTGGGTCCCCACTTTTAGTCATGGGCCCAACAGGTTAACCTTTTCTTCCTGGGTGCTTTGGGCAACTGACTGTGGATGGACAGATTCCTGGAGTTGGTGCGTTGGTGTTTCGCGGGATTCGAAGGATTTCCATCCCAACTGGTGCAGGTGCAGGATTTGTCACCTTCCATTTGGTTAAGAATATGTGTTCTTTCCCCCTGTTGGTTTTAAAGGGAATCTATCACTACTGGACAGTTCTTTTTCCAGGGGCTTGAGCAAATGGAGGTGTCCATCCGCGAAGCAAACCGCATGGGCCCGGGGGGTATGGAGAATGTGCGCGGCGCACTAGCCCCTGTCACTTGAAGACGAAAAGAGCCATTCAGTGGGTGTAGTGGGGGGGATCTTGGACGCCAAGGTGTTGATCTTTCCTGCCATTTGCTGAAATGAATGTGTTATATGGTCCCTTTCTGGTTGTAAAGGGAATCAATTTCACTGCTGGACAGATTCTCGCATTTTTCCAGAGGGCGCCAGCAAATGGAAGCTTGTTGAGGGACCATTCCAGGGCCCCGACAATTGAAATTTATGTTTCCAGGGTCATGGGCGATTGGGCTCTTGATTGGGCTTCCCCTTTTGACCTGCCTACTCTGAAGAAACAATGCGTGGTTGAATGTCGCGTTTAACCCCGTCATTCATTTCAAGATTTGGGGGCGGGCGCCTTTGTCAGTTTGTGTTCAACCACAAGATCTGGAAAACCCAAAAAATAAAATATGAGCCATTGCTAATGGAATGGACCCCTCCTCTGACCCTGCATACCCTTTTGGCACGGGTCTATGGACCCCCTCATCCTTTGACCCCGCATGCCCATTCTCATTGGTCTGTACTGTTTTCTCGTCAGGCTTAGTGGTCAGGATTCAGGGTTTGGATTGTGGGGTGGGAAACTGAACTGAGTTTGGATAATTAGGGGGGATAGGTGGGGGTTGTGGGTTGTGGGAAACTGAAATAAGCAGGAGCATACTGACAACAGGATACCTCAATGTATTGGACTGTGCCTTGCAAAACTGGAGAGAGCGTGTCCTTTTTGGTACCCGTTTGGTAAACGAAAGGGATCCGAATCAATTCAGGGAACCCTTCGTTGGTCGTTTGGATTGGGTGACCGGAAAAGGTGATCATGCTTCTCATGGCAACTTGGGTCAGGTAACCCTAAGTTTCTGATTTGGATTGGTGGTTTGAGAGTTCAACCCCTGTTTTGTGTAGAGTACCAAAGCACAGGGCTCGCCTTTTCACCACAAATCACGGCCTCCTTTTCGGCTGCCGAAAGCCCGGCTGAGGAGCATGGCCTCTGAGCTACAGCGGTGGAAACTGGAGTGCCAAGGCCGATTCGCCGATTCGACCCTGCAGGGTTCCTTGGGGATTCGCCATGGATTCGTTAAGGGTTAGTCCCCATTTTGTTGTGACACAACGTTTCCTGTTTGGCAGGGTCCCTCAAAGGACACGAATTCAGCTCTTGGGCTTTCTTTGAAGTGCACCTCCTTTTTGTCAAAGGAAGTTTAGAAGGAAACTTCCGAGTTACGGAAACTAATTTAAAGCTAGATGGCGCAGGGAAGGAAGAAGAAAGAATGAAAGGCGCGCGAGAGAAAACATGCGTGTGCGGGGGAATAGAATTTGCGAAAAGGAGCAACCTTCTGCGGGCTTGGTGGTGTGGAGCTGGCTGAAAGCTACCTCAGTCGCGGCGTCTGATGGACGACGGGTGCGGGACGGTCTTGGGACGGGGGCGGCGCCGGGACCATTGGCACGGCAACGCAGAGGTTTCACAAGGTTTGAATTGCGTGGCAGGCGCAGCATTTTGGTGAGGTCGGGTGCAGATTTCGTGGCAGGCGCAGCACTTTCGCAAGGTCAACTTTTCTCAAGGGTTGAATTGCGAGGCAGGCGCAACACTTTCGAAAGCTCAGGTGCAGATTTCGTGGCAGGCGCAGCACTTTCGCAAGGTCAAGTACATATTTCGTGGCAGGTGCAGCACTTTCGCAAGGTCAAGTAAAGATTTCGTGGCAGGCTCAGCACTTTCGCAAGGTCAAGCACAGATTTCGTGGCAGGCGCAGCACTTTCACAAGGTCATGTACATATTTCGTGGCAGGTGCAGCACTTTCGCAAGGTCAAGTGCAAAATTCGTCGCAGGCACATCACTTTCGCAAGGTCAAGTACAGAATTCGTGGCAGGTGCAGCACTTTCGCAAAAGTGCAAAATTCGTGACAGGCGCATCACTTTCGCAAGGTCAAGTACAGATTTCGTGGCAGGCGCTGCACTTTCGCAAGGTCAAGTACAGATTTCGTGGCAGGCGCAGCACTTTTGCAAGGTCAACTTTCGCAGCCGGGGCTCGAAAATCGCAACTTTTAAGTGCGAAAGTAGTACGCAAAGTCAACTTTCGCAGCTGGGGCTTGAACATCGTACGAAAGTAGTGCGCGAAGTCCACTTTCGCAGCCGGGCTTGAAAATCGCAACTTTTAAGTACGAAAGTAGTACGCGAAGTCCACTTTCGCAGCTGGGGCTCGAAAATCGCAACTTTTAAGTACGAAAGTAGTACGTGAAGTCCACTTTCGCAGCTGGGGCTTGAAAATCGCAACTTTTAAGTACGAAAGTAGTACGTGAAGTCCACTTTCGCAGCTGGGGCTCGAAAATCGCAACTTTTAAGTCCGAAAGTAGTACGCGAAGTCAAGATAGAAAGAAAGAGATAAAGAGATAGAGAGATAGATAGATAGAGAGAGAGAGATAGATAGAGAGAGAGAGAGATAGAGAGATATATAAATAGATAGATAGAGAGATAAATACATAGATAAACGATAAACAGACAGATAGATAGACAGATGGATAGATAGATAGATAGACAGAGAAATAGATAAATAGATAGAAACAGAGATAGAGAGAGATACATAGATAGGTAGATAGATAGAGAAATAAGTAGATAGATAGATAGATAGGTGAAGAGAATGGGATAGAGAGGTAAATAGAGAGATAAAGAGATAGAGAGATAGAGAGAGAGAGATAGATAGATAGGTAGACAGAAAGATACATAGAGAGATATAGAGATAGATAGATAGAGAGATAGACAGATAGAGAGACAAATAGATAGATAGATAGATAGATAGATACGCGGGAGATAGATGGAGAGATAGATGGATAGATAGATAGATAGATAGAAAGAGATAGAGAAAGAGATAGAGAGATAAATAGAAAGAAAGAGAGATAGAGAGATAGATAGATAGACAGATAGAGAAAGAGAGAGACAGAGATAGAGGGATATAGAGAGATGGATAGAAAGGAGTACGCGACGTCAAGAGAAAGAGAGAGAGAAAGAGATAGATAGATAGATAGATAGAGAGAGAGAGAGACAGAGAGAGCAAGATAGATAGATAAATAGACAGAGAGAGAGAGAGATAAAGAGATAGAGAGATAGAAAGATAGATAGGGAGAGATAGATAGATACAGAGAGAGAGATAGAGAGAGAGAGAGATAGAGAGAGATATAAATAGAAAGAAAAAGAGATAGATAGATAGATAGATAGATAGATAGATAGATAGAGAGATAGAGAGATGGAGAGATAGAGAGACAGAGAGATAGAGAGATAGAGAGATAGAGAGATACATAAATATATAGATAAACGATAAACACACAGATAGACAGATAGATAGATAGATAGATAGAGAGAGAGAGATACATAGATATGTAGATAGATAGAGAAATACATAGATAGATAGATAAATAGATAGAGAGGTAGATAGATAGATAGATAGATAGATAGACAGATAGGTAGAGAGAATGAGATAGAGAGGTAGATAGAGAGATGGATAGATAAGTAGATCTATAGATAATTAGAAATATAGATAGAGAGATAGAGAGATAGAGAGATGGATATACACGTGAGATAATGAGATAGATAGAGAGATAGACAGATAGAGAGAGAGAGAGAAATAGGTAGACAGAGGGATACATAGAGAGATATAGAGATAGATAGATAGAGAGATAGACAGATAGATAGACAGATAGATAGATAGATAGATTCGCGGGAGATAGATGGAGAGATAGAAGGATAGATAGATAGATAGAAAGAGATAGAGAAAGAGATAGAGAGATAGATAGATAGAAACACAGAGAGATAGAAAGATAGAAAGAAAGAGAGATAGAGAGATAGATAGATAGACAGATAGAGAACGAGAGAGACAGAGATAGAGGGATATAGAGAGATGGATGGATAGAGAGATAGAGAGATAGGTAGATATATAGATAGAGAGATAGAGAGATAGATAGAGAAGATAGAGAGAGAGAGATAGATAGATAGATAGATAGATAACACGAGAGATAGATAGATAGGCAGTTAGGTAGAGATAGGTAGAGAAAGATAGACAAACAAACGAAAGAACGAAAGAAAAGACAGATAGAAAGAAGGAAAGAAGGGAGGAAGGAAGGAAAGAAAGGAAAGAAAGGAAGAAAGGAAGAATGACGAGGAACAAGAGTCAAGCAAGGAAAGAGAAAGAGAACTATAGTTTTTATATTTTTGAAAGTTCGGCCCACCGGCTTCGCCGGCTCTACTGGTAGGGTGATGTTTGAAAGGGAACATCGTGAGCGCGCGACTTGCCTTTTCTGGCGGTGATTGCTTGACTGCCCGATGTTGCAAGTAAACCAACCACACCCACCCAGAAAACCATGCAACATGCGGGGTAAAAGGACCAGTTGAGGTAAAAGATGTGAAGTCGCCGCTGTCTGCAGCCCGCCGCCGCTTCGTGCCGCCGCCAGACCTGCGTTCCGGGGAAGCCGCGCCTCCCGCGGCTTCTGCCGGCGTGACAGAGGCCGCCGCGGCCCAGTCGCAGGCGAGGTGCGCCAAATGGTTTGGAATCCTGGTTCAGCGGAAATCAGGACGAAAAACCAGGTTCCCCTAGTGGTTTCATGTTGACCCATGCCCAGGTATCCAGCATGTATCCAACCCAAATGCTGTGGTCCTGGTGCTACAACATCCCGCAACATGGTGTGTTTCTTGCGCCCCCTACTTGAAATGCAGCTTAGAAACATGTGCTAGCATAGGGAGGGGGGTTGGGGGTTGGGCGGGGACCCACTTCCCATTTTTCTACATCTCCAGGGGTCATTCTGGCCCCCCTCCCCCAATTCCATTTTTAAGCAGATGGATCCACCAAGGATTGCGCCCTGAGATCATGGACTTTGGTCACTTGTGTTGGACCATTTTGGTGTTAAAGAAACCGTTTGTCGTTTTGTTGGCCAATCCACTCAAGTGAGACACGGAACCTGGCTGGCTCAAATTCCGTTTCCCAATGGACCCGAGAAACAAATTGGTTGCTCATCCAAAAAAAACAGACCTTTGTTGCCAGGGCTAGGCAACTTGAAGGGTGCGTTAAGCGGTACCAAGATTTATTGACTCATATTGACTCACGACCAGTCCCAACCACCAAGAGGTGTGGATACCGCCCTTTTAGTCGTCTCTATGTTTTAGGGTAGGGTAGGCCGGGTAGGCTGTTTGGTACCAAGATTTGATTGACTCACATGTTTGCAATCATTCCATTTTCCACCCTTGACACGTTCAGGTCCGAACTCGCCTTGGGTTATTCCCTAACTTCCTCCAGTCCATTCGATGCACCATGCGAACCGCAGTCGTGGGCCAAGTGGATATGATGGATTTTGAGCTGTGGGTGAAACAAGCATGTCCTTGAGGGGTCCCTTAATTCAGTTTTGGAGTTATGGTTTAAACAAAAAAAACATGCAGATGGATGGCGAGGTTAGCACGGGCCATATATTTCTCGTGGGTTGTTTTCAATCGGAGACGCCATTTGGCGGCTTTTGGCACGGGCTGAGATTGCGAGCACGTTTGATCGAAATCTGGCAAGTTCATATTTGAGCATTTAAGCAAGGGTTGGCAGGCATGGCCGTCCTCTGTGCCAAATTGCCCTATGTCCAAACAGGATCCGTTCCGATATGGACTGCCAGCCGTCACGCCCGAAGATGACAGATGATCAAGCCATTGGCCAGGTTATTGGGTGTGTCCGTGGGCTTCCTTCTCGTTTCCCTTTGAATCCACCCAACAAAAATCAGCCTCCCAACAAATTGGAGCCAGGCACAAAGGTCTTCGTGGTTTTTACATGGCTTCCTTAGCTTGCCCTGAAATCGACCAATCAAAACGTCCATTTTTGGTATTTTGGTCCCAGCAGGTGAGCATGAGGCTTGACAACTCGGTGAATTGTGGAGTAACCAGGGGGGAGGGGAGTATATATTGAAAAGCTGTTCCGAGCCGGACACTGCATGTAGTTACCCTGCGGAACCCAGCACAGCCAAGCTTGCAAGCCTGAGCAGCAGCCATACCAACATCCTGCAATATCCCCACCCCTTAAGAACTGGAACTTGGGGAGGGGGTGATTCTGGTTTCATGTTTGGTTTGCCTAAGGGGAAGACTCGAACAATGGGAATTGGGTCCCGGACGCCCCACCCCCCCCACCCCCTTAAGGTAGGTCATGTCTTCAGGTTGCTTGTTGTTTGTTGTTGTGATTTGATCATTTGTTCGTGGGGGGCTGCAAAACAATCCGCTTTTGTACTACCATACCGTGCGGTTTGGACAGGTTGCTAGGTCCCCGAGTAATGCCCTTTTACCCTTTTGGGGGAGGGTTCCCCTGCTAACACAGACAACAGAAACAAAAGGGCACCCTTATTTTAACCTCTCTACTGGAGGACCCAGGTTGGACACGTTTGAGTTTTCGGCTCACTCGCGCCAGGCCCAGCTGCAGGCGGCGCAGGAATCGAATCTGCGCGGGAGCTGGTGCCTGAAAAGGGGAACCAAAACCGGGGCCTCCTCTCCAAACATATGTTAGATTTAGACTAAATGTGGGGGGGGAGGAGCAACCCCCCTGGATTGTTCTCCTCCTTTTTGGGAAGGGTGGAGGCCAGGGAAAGGCACATAACCATGCCCCTCAAGTAGACCCTCCAACACCCGAGTTCTGACATCTCAGTGGTGTGTCTTTAGGATTCGCACGGTGCCGAAAGAGGAGCTGTCCTTTTTCTTGTTTTTTTGAGGTCGGTAAACCCATGAGCCTTTGAGTTGAGGGAATCCGATGGCATTCTTGAGCAAGGCAGACAGAGTCCCAAGCCAGGCTGCATTTGTTGGCCACATCATTTGAACCTCCAGGAGCTATGGCGAGGGAGGTCTATAGACCCTTAGGAATTAATCAGACCTTACTTGCCGCTTATCCTGAGCTCGTCCAGGGAAAGACTCCCCACAGCCTTTCTTCCGTGGGGTGTGCTGATTGTTCCGCGGACTACTGGCGAATCCTTTGTTTTTCTCGTTGGTTTAGCGGTTGGGCTTCCATTAACCCACGAGTTATTCGCGTTTAGCAGATCTGAAAACGGACGGCGCAGGTTTCAGTGTGCCCCAAAACGATTTGAGCCGAGTTTCACAGGAGAACTTGCTGAGACTCCAAGAGCAGTCTGTGGCAGATGTGGAGTCGGCTCAGAGGCTGGCCGAGCGAGGGGGGGAGGCCGCGAGGGTTTTGCTTGCATGGAATTGGACCCTGAGGAGGTGAATCGTCTTTCGCGTTTCGAACCGCGAAAGGGAGTCCGAAGTTGTAGCCGTTGGGCCACAGCTTGTTTCAACAGTACCAGCCCGTTTTTGGGGGAACCCGCTCTGGGAGCTCGTTTAAATAGGTCTAGGCAGTAGTGCCTTTTTGTTGGGAGGGTTCCCTTACTAAAATAGACAACAGAAAAAAGGGGGTACCCTTATTCTAGCCTCTCTACTGGAGGACCTAAAGGTTGAAACAGGCGCCACTGAGGGGGTGGCACCTTTCGGTTTGCGACCTGTGGCCTGTGAGTTTGTTTTTTCTGCCCTTGGCAGCAGGGAGGGCGGGGACACCTTCAAAAACCACCAGGAAAGAGGTGCCCCCTTTTTCGCACTCGAGATCTCTCACTTGTCCAAAGCGAACAGGCTCTGACCTTGTAGAAAATATTAAGGTCAAGGATACAAAAGGTGATTACTTTTATTTCCAGGTACTCCGGGCAAGTGAGGTTGGGGTAAATGATTGCTAATGTTGCCCTGACCGAATGTGCTTTCTCCATGCACTGCTCTTCATTCTAATTCTTACGGGTTGGGAGGAACTTTCTAAAGGGTTGGCTCTTGAACTGGTAGATCAAGGATGTTTTTTTTTTTTTTCTCGGAGCTGTAGCTCTTTGCCGATATCCACATTTGTTTGTTGTACAGGGCTTAAGACTCAAGTGTCGTATTTATCGGCTCGGGGTCGTTTGCAGGGATTTCTGGTCGGGAAATGTTTGAACATAATGTCCAATTTAACTGCAAGACAAGGTTGGTATTGGTTTGCAGGGAGTATCCTCCGAAACAAACAAGAACAAATCGGAGGGTCCTTTTTCTGAGGAAGGCGTCCAAGCGAGACAACTAGCTCATAGGTGGCTACTAGCGGCCGTGACCCGCCCATGACCCGCCCATTCGAAGGACTCCCGTGCCGAATGCAGATGATTCACTCACTCATTTGAGTGAACCACCCCGTGACTAGCACGGTGTTTTCTCGAAGTTCACGTTCCAGAATTGTGTTCCGTAACATTCACCTGCGATTCAATCCAAACTTTCATGAATTCCAGGGGCGTCTCAGAGCTCACCTCCGGAGTTCCTGCACTTCCAGCTTTTGGAAAGACCATTTCAGTGGCAAATGGGTGCGGGTCAAAATCAAACTACCAGAAAACTGCCGGTTTTAGTCCATGTGTCCATTTACCAGGCTTCCCAAAATGGGTACCTGGACCCTCAAACTACCCATAAAAATGGGATATCACCCCATAATTTTGGGGGTCAAACCCATTTTTAAGGGAATTTTGAGGGTTCAGGTACCTATTTTTGCCCCACAGCCCAATCACAAAAGTCTGGTTGCGGCTTTTGGAATCCGATCCACTCAATCTCTTGGATGAGTGAAGTTTCGCCGAGCGGTGCCCAAGTGCCACCAGGGCTGAGCGCAGCATCGTGGCCCTGAAGACGCGGTGCCGCCAGTTGAAGGGCGACGCTGAGGAGGTCCGGGCCGGGGGGGGCGGGGGGCACGGACGCGTTTAAAGCAAGGACACGTCTTGACTGCTATTGGGTCACGGATCTTTAGACTTTAAGTGTTTGGTTGAAATAAAAGTTTTGCTTCTACTACAACCCCCAGAAAGTTAAACTGTTTTGCAGGGGGGTCAACAGCAGCCAAGACTTAGAGCTTCCATTTGCTTTGTTTTCAAGCAGGGTTGTGGTGGATCACTCGGGGTTGCTGCCTCACTTCTGTGATGCAAAGAAACTTCCCAAATTGACATGGGGGGGTAGTCTTTGGGAAACCCTTCTTCTTTGTTGTAATGCAGAAGTGGATTCCATTTTCCACAGGCCTGTTTCAAAGGGAATCGTTCACTTGGGGATTTCCCCACTTCTGTGACACAAGGGAATCTCCCCCAGTGGTCATTTCCCACAGCCCTGGTTTAAAGGGAATCAATTTTACTACTGGATTTGATTTCTTTATGATCGATTTGAACCCTCAAAAGTGGGAGGGGGGGACTCCTTGTCATTTCTCTTTAACAACCACAAAAAAGGGTACCCTCAACAAAAGAGACACACAAATGTTTCCCAGATTATCAAACGGGGTGTTGGAGTGCTTGGAAACTGCCCGAGTTTTCTTGGCGGCTCCCAACCATCCCCTTAGGATTATCGGAGTAAACTGTCAGTAAACTGATAGAACTTATTTAGCCCCGTATATAAAATTGTGTGGCCAAGCACCCTAGCAATATGACCCTGACTGTCCACCGTCAAGGGGAGGGGGTGCGTAATTTGCGCAAGCTACTTTGTAATTGTGTTGATACCCCGGAACAACCCCTCAAACCCCCCAACAAGGGAATGGTTCCCAACAACTCCTCGCCAACGAACAAATCAGGGCCTACCATACCCTTCTCCGTTCTCAAGGATTCTTCTCCGATGGGAGCCCAATCCCAGAAGTTTCTGAAATTGAGTAAGCAGAATGGGGAATCAGCCCGATTTCGGGAAATTATGGCTGCTTAGGACTACTGGGAAAGTCCCACTCCCCAGTGGGGAATCGGCCCTTGGCAACCACAGGAAGGGTTAGTAATTGGGACGCTAGGAGCCTATTTGAATGTTGAATCCGCAGGGTTAATTCCACTGAGGGGGACGCGGAGGTGCATTGACGGGGAAATGGAATTCGAGACCACCCTCCAGACAGGGTGCGATTTGAAGGGTTGATTGCAACCATTTTCAGGGACCCTCAGCGGGGGCCATGGGAGATCAACGTGGCGGCCATGCAAGAGCGCGTTGACAAGGAGAAGCCCTTGCTCAAACGTGACCAAATCCTCTGGCAATGCCAGGTGGTGGTTGACAAAGTGAACAAGGTGGACAAGCTCGGCTTGGATGACCCCGAGGATGTCACCCCCATGGATGACGCCATCAAGAAGTTCAATATGAGCGAGTATGCCAAGATGGTCGAGGAGATCAGAAAGAAGGAGCGTTCAAGAGCCCGTCAGACCTCATCGAACTAGATGAGCCGCTTCTTGGAGCTGTGGCCCAGGACTTTGTCTTCTCCGTCACGGTGGCGAAAGGGTCAACTCGCCGGGAGGCACTTGCTGCAATCCACCACGGGGTGACCAAGGTATCCAAGGAGATCAACGTGGCGGCCATGCAAGAGCGCGTTGACAAGGAGAAGCCCTTGCTCAAACGTGACCAAATCCTCTTGCAATGCCAGGTGGTGGTTGACAAAGTGAACGAGGTGGACAAGCTCGGCTTGGATGACCCCGAGGATGTCACCCCCATGGATGACGCCATCAAGAAGTTCAATATGAGCGAGTATGCCAAGATGGTCGAGGAGATCAGAAAGAAGGAGCAGAAAGCAAAAGAGGACGCAGAGAAAGCCAAGATGAAAGAAGAAAAGCAAAAGCAAGCTGTCTTGAACAGCAACCCTTCGACGCTCATGAAGGATGTGGTCGAGTCCATCGTCGACGCAAAGTTCAAAGAGGCAAAGCGCGACGTGGATGTCGAGATGCCTGCGGGACCAGAGGAAACCCTCGAAGATGACAACCTGGTGCCCAACCAGGAGTCCATCGACAAGGGCATGGAGAAAGCGTGCCGTGCTTTGCAAAAAAACGGCCAAGCCCCTGGCGGAGGCAAGGGGAACAAGGGCAAGACCTCCAAGCATGGCACAGCAAAGGCGCAAAGCGACAACAGAAAAAAGCAACAGTTCACACACACGACCGGCGGCCGCAACCAATGGCTGGCATGGATGCCTTGGGGCCATCCCGCAGAGTTTCCAAGAAAAGGCAAAGGAGGCAACAGTGGCGGCAAGAACGCGAACAAGAACGCAGCAAACACAAGGTACTCATGGAATTGATGAATGGGGCCACCGCAGATGACCTGTGGTGGATGCTCAACTTCCAGGAACTCGAGTCCCGTGTTGTGGTGTATGACCCTCTGTCATGTACCACCGAGCCAGCCAGCCAGAACAATGTCCCTTGGCCCATTATTTGGTTGCTGGCCAGGTACAACCGCAAGCACATATGGGCAAGCAAAAAACTCCCTCCGCTGCACTGGATTGGGTCTGCGATGAACGACTTCACTCACCGGATGAAGTGGAAGTGGTTCTTCAGAAACAGTGCCAATCCTAAACCAGAGGTTTCCTTCCGGTCCAACGCGCCTTGCCGACAGCTTGTTGACCCAGCACTTCAGTGCTGGCTTGACAAGTTCCGGCGGTTGATGGTGCAGGAGGCCCGGCTGGCGTGCAACATTGCTAAGTGGCAAAAGCAGAAGGTCAGCAACATGACTCCGTTGGTGAGGTGGGGCATGCAACTGCTCAAGCGCTCTCAGTGGAAAGTGTGTTGGACCGACAAGACATCCTCGTATGCCCTCATTGACCGTTCACTTATTGCATTTGTCCATGAGCAGATTTTCAACAAGCCCATGTATGTCCCCATGACTGAGCACCATGAAGTAGTCAACAGCTGGTACGCCCAATACTTCAAGCTTTGCAAACGCATTGAGTTGCTAGTGGACAGCCCGGAGTTGGGACAACAGCTGCGGAAGACCACCCGGTTACCACGAGCCAGCGCATTTTCGAAGTTGAGTTTCACTGTGAAAACACAGAAGCCACAACGTGAAATCACTGTCAGGAATTTGCACTGCTCTGGAACTTACAGCTTTAAGGGTGTTGGGCTTTGGGTACAAAAACAGTTTGCTAAGAAGTTGGACTGCTTACCCCACTTGGTGAAGAACCCCATCGATGTTGCAAGACATCTCAACGGCCTCAACGGAGGACATCCTTGTGGTGAAGTTTGACATCAAAGAGTTTTTCTTGTCGGGTAGCATTAGCCAACTGAGAGATGATGCTTTGAGAATTTTCCAAGACGAAGACCCTTCCACAAAGCATGTGCTTTATGACGCTGTGGATTTCCTTTTGTCGTCGCAGTTAGTCCGCAGTGAGACTACTGGATTTTGCGCCCAGCTTGGCCAAGGGTCTGGCATGGGGCTTCCCCACCCAATCTGGAGGCATTGCGGATTCTGCATTCTGGGCGAGAGCCGAACGCGAGATGCTTGGAACACGCCGGATGCAGGAAGCTGGCATCTTGCAATACATGCGGTTCAAGGATGACGGGATCATTGTAGCGAATTCCAAAGCCAATTGCTTGAAATGGTTCCACTCCTTCAAATCGAAAGCCGGATATTTTCAAGTCCTTTGCGAAGAATGCACCAGATTCAACCCTGCCTGCAGTGTGGAATTCCAGTTCCTACAGTTTCGCATTGTGCTGTGCGCCGACACCGGAGGATTCGGGTCATTCCTCACTCAAAGAGCGTGGCCGTTCCATTGGGTGAGACGTCGGCCCACCCACCATGTGTGAAGTCTTGGCCAGTGGCACACCTTCAGTGCATGTGTCGACTGGCTGGGGACCCAGAGTCGGCAGAAGAAGCGAAAGAGCAGATCCTTCAGCGTTTCTTGCAAAGCAGAGCCCCCCATGAACTCATCCACAGGATGCGTGCTGTACCAGCCTGGCAAATCGGCGCGGCCCCACCAAAGATTGAGGCAGCGAAGTGTGCAAACTGGTGGGTGCCTCTAGCGTGGCATCCTGCGTGGCAATTTGCCAAATTCGGCAAGGTGATCCGCAGCATGCTGGAGCCAGAAAGCTTAGTTTTGGTACAACAAGCATTTGGGATTACAGGCGCAACATTTGGCCCCTCAGGTGAGACTTGCGTGGAGGAACCGCTTGCCACACAGTGGACAAATGTTGATGAAGCTGTGAAGTTTGGATGGTTGGTTGGGGATGGTGGAGGTACCATCAGCAGCAGCAGGGAGATGTGTACTGTAACAGGTGTCAAGCCGGGCTTTGTGCAGACTGCCGGGCATACCACCTTGATTTGTCACTCTGCAACCTCCGCTAGTTTTGACTCAAGGGAGGTGAGGACTAGTAAACCCTGTCCTGGTTCCAAAGCCAGGTCCCTTTTCCCTTTTAACATTCTTTAGAGCCTGAAATGGCTGCAAGAAGCAATGGAGGAGGACAAGAAAGTGAGCCTCGACGTGCATGTGCCAGTTTACCAAGTGTTGGGTCACGGATCTTTAGACTTTAAGTTTTTGGTTGAAATACAAGGTGCTTTCTACTACAACCCCCAGAAAGTTAAACTGTTTTGCAGGGGGGTCAACAGCAGCCAAGACTTAGAGCTTCCATTTGCTTTGTTTTCAAGCAGGGTTGTGGTGGATCACTCGGGGTTGCTGCCTCACTTCTGTGATACAAATAAATTTCCAAAATTGACATGGGGGGTAGTCTTTGGGAAACCCTTCTTCTTTGTTGTAATGCAGAAGTGGGTTCCATTTTCCACAGGCCTGTTTCAAAGGGAATCGTTCACTTTGGGGATTTCCCCACTTCTGTGATACAAGGGAATCTCCCCCAGTGGTCATTTCCCACAGCCCTGGTTTAAAGGGAATCAATTTTACTACTGGATTTGCTTTCTTTATGATCGATTTGAACCCTCAAAAGTGGGAGGGGGGGACTCCTTGTCATTTCTCTTTAACAACCACAAAAAAGGGTACCCTCAACAAAAGAGACACACAAATGTTTCCCAGATTATCAAACGGGGTGTTGGAGTGCTTGGAAACTGCCCGAGTTTTCTTGGCGGCTCCCAACCATCCCCTTAGGATTATAGTAAACTGTCAGTAAACTGATAGAACTTATTTAGCCCCGTATATAAAATTGTGTGGCCAAGCACCCTAGCAATATGACCCTGACTGTCCACCGTCAAGGGGAGGGGGTGCGTAATTTGCGCAAGCTACTTTGTAATTGTGTTGATACCCCGGAACAACCCCTCAAACCCCCCAACAAGGGAATGGTTCCCAACAACTCCTCGCCAACGAACAAATCAGGGCCTACCATACCCTTCTCCGTTCTCAAGGATTCTTCTCCGATGGGAGCCCAATCCCAGTAGTTTCTGAAATTGAGTAAGCAGAATGGGGAATCAGCCCGATTTCGGGAAATTATGGCTGCTTAGGACTACTGGGAAAGTCCCACTCCCCAGTGGGGAATCGGCCCTTGGCAACCACAGGAAGGGTTAGTAATTGGGACGCTAGGAGCCTATTTGAATGTTGAATCCGCAGGGTTAATTCCACTGAGGGGGACGCGGAGGTGCATTGACGGGGAAATGGAATTCGAGACCACCCTCCAGACAGGGTGCGATTTGAAGGGTTGATTGCAACCATTTTCAGGGACCCTCAGCGGGGGCCATGGGAGGGGAAAAGGCTATCCCCGGATCAGCCAAGGATAAGCCCTTAATACGGTCTTGCTAAGTGCCCCAAATCAGGGAGTTACGCAACTGTCCTTAGCCACTTCGAGGTCCGAAGTGGTGGGTGAAACTGCCGGAAAGAGACAGCCGGCTGAAACATCCACAGCAAGAAGCGATCCTGTGGAAGCTACGCACCCCCCCTCCCAAGTTCGGCCCCTTGGGGTCCATGACCTTTCCGGGTCGATCGCCCACGTCTCCAGACGACCTGGCTGTGGGTCAAAAATGGGACCCCATTGTTGGTTGGTAGGTGCACCACCCATGTTGGTCTATTTTAGTTGGGATTGGGATGTTCACCAGGGGTACAGGGTTTTGACCTACAGCCACCTCTCGCAGGCGAAAGCGAAAGAGCAGAGCGCTGCAGCCTTGAGCGACCAGCTGGCGCTGAGGCGAACCGGAAAAAATCGCGAGAGACGGGGTTAGGCTGAGAGACCTCCAGGCATACGGTGGATGGTTGCGAAATCCTCTTAGGAACCACCGTTCAGAAACCCTGGGTTCTGATGATTCACTTGTAAATACCTACAAACAGTTGGTTTCAACCATGGTTTCAAAGTGGTGCAGGATTTGGTCCATCCACAGTAGGTGTCCTTCTTAGGTTAGATGACGCTGGCTGGATAGATTCGTTTTACGCAGGGCCATGTATGTTTTTCCACACCAATGCCTCCAGGTTGCGCGCCCTTTCAGCTTTTTTTTTGGGGGGGGGACTAAATTAACACATTAGGTACCAAGAAAGAAGAGTGCCAATAACCGTTTCTTCTTGGGGAGGACCCAAAATAATAAAACTGCCAAGAAAGAAGAGAGCCAATCTGTTCCCAAACGTGCAGGTTCCCTCATAGCAGCGCCCAAAATGAGTCCTTATAACTTAAAAGCCATCCTTACCTGCTCGGCAACTGTCTAGGATCCAGAAGTCATGGGCCTGGAACTCCCACTTTGACTGAGCTATCGCGACAACTCACTTGCCCAAAGCGAATCGACCTTTTGACCTTGTAGTTTCCCATGTTTGGTCCATTTTTAGTAAAGGTCCCAAAAGGTTAACCTTTTCTTTCTGGGTCCTTTGGGCAACTGAGACAAGTTACAATGGTTCGTGGCTGGTTTGCTGGCTTCGCACTGGAGAATCCACCTTGCTTCCGGGTGTAAACCCGAAATAGAAGGATCTAGCGAATTGACGAGATGAACCGCATAAGGCAAGATCATATTATGAGGGCTGCTACAATTATGTTCATTTTGTTTCCTGGGTGAATGGATCATACTGTGCAAGAAAGCCGCTCGTGATTTGCAGTTTGGGTGGGTCATGAAGGGCATGATCCTTTCCCTTTTGATACATCACTAGTGGCAACTAAGAGTTATCAGAGAACCAACGCCTTCCGGATTGGTTACACGGCTTTCGGGATAGATTTTGGGAGCAACAAAGGTATGTGGCACGAGTAGGTGGGTATATCTTGATGTCAGGGTCTATGTCCCTGGGAGTGTGTTGCAAGGAAACAAAAGGGAAACTACCAATCTCTTGGGGGCACTGTTGGCATGTTTCCAGTTCTTTAGTTGTTTTGTTTGATTCTGCAGATTTTTTGTAGGAGGCTGCAACAAAAATGCCAGCTGTTTACGACCATACCAAGGGTTGGAAAGGTATCCATTCTCTACTGCTATTGGGTTGGATCTTTAGACTTTGACTTGTTGGATTCCCTTCATATGTCCTTTCAACCAGCAAAAAGTAAACTTTGCTGGGGGTTTTAGAGCACCCAAGCATTTCGAAGACAACCCCATGCTTTAAACAAGGTGCCCTTGGGACGTGCCATGCTTCACTAAGACTCGGTCCCTGAGTTTTTTACATGGGCCAGGGGAAGGGCGAATTTTGCCGCGTGAGGTGATGTCCAAAAAGGGTTCTTGAAAGGAGACATATTTCTTGTTGCCCAGTGGTGCCCTTATTCTTTTTTTGTGGGTGAGGGTTCCCTTTTATACTCAACCAACCAAAAAATGAAGCCCCTTTCTTTTCCCGTGGCCACTGGGCATCTGAGATTTGGGCCAAGTGTTAAGAACCACATTTGCCAGGAGCTCACTTCCCGAGTTGCGTTTTGGACTTTCGCCACTCGTATTTGGACGATGCGGGTGGCAAGCAACGAGTTTGGTTGCTCTTTTGGCCGATCCACTGGATCGGAAGTGAGTTGGGCAACCCACAGGAAGTGAGTTGCAAGTTGGCTCAAATACCGTTTTGGGTTTTTTTTATATATATATATATATATTCTCCGGTGCACCCATTTAGAACCTATCTTAGTGGTTGGATTGGGATGTTCACTGGGGGTACGGGCTTTGGTTGTGACCCATGGCCTGCTGTAAGTTGGGTTCCTTTGGTCGCGCGTCCACGCGCAGGTGCCGAGAACAGGAGCTGAAGCTTGAGGAGGCTACGGAAGTGCAGTGGCCTGGCCTAGCAGGAGGGGTGTTGTCGCCACTTCGGGCCCCTGACCTTCATTGGGGGCGTCCCTCGAAAGTTTCAGTCTGTCCTAGTTGGTGGTTTGGATTGGTGGTTTGGATTGGTGGATTGCGTTTATGATTCTGCTGGGGGCCTTTGAGTGTCTCACTCCCGTTCGAGTTCATGGGCTTCCTGCGCTTTTTGGAAAGACGGTTTTAGTGGTAGAAAGAAAGTTCCAGTACCGTTTGTGGCCAGTCCACACTCAGGAAGTGAGGGGTGGCTCTGTCTTAAGGCTACCGAGTTGGTTTGAACATCTAAATCCTGCAGCTTGAGCCGGCGATTTGATGTGCACTTGATGGGGAACCCCAGCCATAACTTGGTGCTCAAAGAAACCTGGAAACCACCAGAGTGGGGATGAAGGATTGTTTGTTCCTTCACTGTTGTTGCAATGTGTTTTAGGTTTTTCTGTGTATTGGTCTGTTCATTCTTAGTGCTAAGATACCAAGGGTTGGAAAGCTTCCTCACGCAACCTTCCGGGGTAGAGCCAGCATACACATTTCATACTAGCCACCCACCTGACTAACACGGAACCCACATCCCAAGGCCCACTTTAGAGCAACATGTCCTTCCACAGGGACACAGTGAGCTTCCATGTTAGTGGGAAGGTGCATTTGCTTTTCGTGGTGAGCAACAGGGACTCACCGGGCCCACTCATTCATATATATTTGTTCGTTGGGTCCAGTACAACAGGTTCTGGCTTGAAAAAGAAGGGCCTGCCTTGTTTGCCCCAGAAATGGTTAACGTAACAGTTGGCCAGCCCTGATTTGCGCAAAACAACGTGGGGGAGCCACCTCTAAACGAGTCCCCCGCTACCCGAGTTGCTGGACTTTATGCGTTTTTTGGGTTTGCACCATTTTCGTACGAAAAGGTGTGGTTGTTTTTGTTGGCCAATCCACTCAGGAAGTGAGTTTGATTGTGCTAGGAAAACCAACAGGAAACAAGCAGCGAAATCAAGGGGACAGGGACGGGGACGGGGAAACCTCCCCGAGATGGAAGTTCGTGGAATGTTGACTCGGTCCCCCAGTAATGCCCTTCTCTCCCGTTTCTTTTTGGGTTGGGAGGGGGAAGCCCCTACTAAAATAGACTACAGAAAAAGAAAAGTTGGTACCCTTGATCTAAATTCTCAAATCTGGAGGACCTAGTTGAAGGAGAAATCCAATAACGCTCCAAAAGAGTCAGGGTTTCCGAGCCATTTCCCTTCTTGGAACATCCAAAAGTGGCGATCGGTTCAATGGAGCCACCACCAGTCACCACCAGTCAATTTATCCAGGGACCCCTGAGAGTCCTTTCTTTGGCCATGTTTTTTTTTTTTGGAATCATCTCCAAAATGGTTCGTGGACATAAACCCCCACCTAAATGATGTCCACAGGGTCCTCATTAAAATGCACCCACTTCTCAGCTACTCTCAATGCCCCTAGGCTGAAGCAAGCGGAGCTCCTTGATGACGAACGAGAGGCGCACGAGATGTGGCCTGGGATGGATTTCCGTGGCTTAGGTCGGAATTTTCAGTGGGAGGGGCTTGGAGGTATGTTTTTTTTGTTGGAGGGTACTGTTTTTTGAAAGGAAGGGTTGTGGAGGTATGTGCTTTTTGTAGGAGGGTACCCCGTTTTGGTGGATTTTCAAGGAAAACCAACAACAACACCACAATTTTAGGGTGCCCTGAACAAAAGGACACCCCCCATATACCACTTGCACACTCGCTTGCCCGAAGCGATTCGACCTGTTGACCTTCTGGTTTCCCCTCTTTTGTCCATTATTATTATATGACCCCAAAAGGTGATCACCTTTTGTTCCTGGCTCCCTAAAGGGCAAATGAGAGGTGGTAGATACCTGAAAATGCCGTGCCTTGATCATCAGAGGGTTCCAGCGGCTTGCGAGCCACGATCCGATTCTACTCGGCCAGACCTCCAGCTCACTGAGCCGGTTGTCAACTGCTCAGTTGGCTTAGGCGAACGAAGACACGCGCACGACCCTGGAAGCTTCCATCTGCTGAATTATGTTTTCTTTCCGCTTTTTGGTTTGAAAGCAGATCGATATGCTTACATTTCCAGGGGGCTTGAGCAAGTGGAAGGAAGGAAGCACGACAGTGGCACGCACCTTTTTTTAATGCAACGAAGAACTGGAACCTCTACGAAGGGCTTTTTTGTCCTTCTGGCTTCCCGCTAAAAACCACCCGAGGGGGTTTCCATTTCCCAAGCTCCCTGAAAAACGAAAATTGTCGATGGAATTTAGTGGTTTTCTTTGACTTTTTCGAGTTGTCCACCACTTTGGTAGAGTCTACTTTGCTAAGAACCCTAAAAGACCCCCACCCTACATGAAGGAAGTTGAACATCAACCCGTTGAGTGTACATCATGCTGGGGGGGGCTGTATGGTGGACACTGAAGAGGGTCTATGAGGCAACCTCCTTCAAGTTTAGGGTAGTGTATTTTTGTTGGTTCTTCTTTGCAACTAAACTAGGTCCCCCAGTAGTGCCCTTTTGTCCTTTTTTGGGGGAAGGTTCCCCTACTAAAATAGACAAAACCGGAAAAAGAAACAGTTGGCACCAACTTATTCTAACCTCTCAAATCTGGAGGACCGTTTTAACGGGGATCGAGATGTGTGTGTGTGTGTGTGTTTTTAACATTTAAAACAAAACGAGTTGGTTCTTCTTTGCAACATCTGCTCCTCTGTCCATGGCACGGGTGGGCGCAGGCCACAGCGGCCTGGCGCGGCAGCTGCCAGGCGCTGGCCGCGCAGGTGGAGCTGGGCGCGGCCTCGGAGCCGGGAGCCACGGGAGCCACGGATCGCCGAGTCGGAGATCCGGGCGCCGAGCCGTCATGGACCTGGGCGAATTATAACGACCTCACGTGACCTCACCAAAAAATGGTGGTTTATGTGGGGAATAGGCCCCCAACCACCTTATTTCAGGTTGGTGAAATAGCTCGTGGCTCAAGCCTCCCAGCGACCGAGCTGGGACGGCAGATAGAGCCGAGATCGCCAGCCATGGAGGTGGAGGTTCTCAGTCGGGTGAGAACCTCACTGGTGATCGTGGAGGAGGCGGTTCTCCCTGGGAAGATGCTTGGACACACGCTCCTTCATCAGAAAAGGGTGGTGGTCCTTGGTGACCGGCCCCGTGGTGATGGACATTTGGTTTTGATCAATGCCAAGTGTTCGGCACAGGCACATGGTGGAGGGGCGTCAGTCCTTGAGGTTGATGAGGAGGCCTTTGCTTCCAGGCGCAGGGCTTTTTCTGACAGCAGCTTGGAACGCGCGGCTGGGGCGATGGGATTCGGACTGACACATGCGGGCTTCGAGCCCATCTTCTTGGAGTGTGTCCCAGGAGCTGGCAATGATGCAAGGGTGCGGAAGAGCAGAAGTTGCAGCTCAGTCGAGCTTGGGTCAATGGTTGAATCCTGGGTTGGAGGCTGGATTTCATGCTGGTCTACACTGCTACGGGTTTTATTTATTTATTTGCGTGCAATCATTGGGACGTGCCTGTGCATACAGTATCGAGTTTTGTGGGGCGTCAGGTGCCCCATGGCTGGGCAGCAGGTGGATGCATTGAGGCTCTGGTGGTGATGGTGATCCCTGGGTTTGGCTGGGTAGCACACATGCTGGTTGTCCCTGTGCACCTGGTTGTCGGGGCGTCTGGAGCAGTGCATCCTGGACCGGCGGCTTGTTACGATGTGCTGGTAGTTATACCTTTGTTTATTTTTGATGTGCCCTAGCACTTTGTGCTCACCTTTGACTGGGTGATGGCGGCCATCACACGGTGTGCCTGTGTGGACAGCGGTTTTTTCGTGCGGGGTGCAAATACCCCCATGGCCTGGGTCTTGCAGGTGCATTCAATGGGTAGTGGCTCCGAGGTTTCTCCTTGAGCTTGCATGGGTGTTTTACAAGGAGTGACGTCCTCCATGGAGGACATCACCCGTAGCTGAGGCACAGTGCTGTCTGGTGGTTGTGTCCCTCTTCACAGGGGTGAACATAGGTTCCTGCTGCATTCCGCTAGCGCTGAGTGCAGTAGACATGGCCGAGAAAAGAGAAAAGGGGTTGGTGAAATATGATAATTCACCCAGACCAATGGACCCACTAAAAATGGTCCAAGCCCCAAAAAAAGCTCCCTTTTTTTCCGGGGTCACTGAACAACTGAGGGATGTGTCAAAATAGGGAGACGTTTTTCAAAATTGTGTTTTTGGTCCCGAGGTCATGGACCCACATTGGTTCATTCGCAAGAAAAAACATTTAAGGAGGACGCACGTACCGCGTAAGGCTTGACATGGTTTGACAACTATCGGGGATGTGTCAAAATTGGGAGAACTCTCAAAATTTTGTTTTCCCCGCTCAGCTGACAGGTGGGCCCAGAAAGTTTTTTTTTCCCGGGGGAGGCGGGGAGCGGCAAAGCACTAAGAAGTCGGGGGAAGCGAGCGCGGAGTGATTCCCGCCTTCAAAATGGAATTGGGGGAGGGGGGATTTCGACCCCTGGAATTCCATTTATGGTGCAATTTTCGCTTTTGTGGGGAAGAGTAGATATGGACTCCCAAGAAAAAGTATCGGGAGGGGGTGCGTAACTCCCTTAGTAAGCCCCTCAATAAGCCTTACAAGGGCTTATCCTGGGATTATCCTGGGCTTCTCCAGAGATAGCCCCCCGCGCCCCCCCAACAGTCCCCCCGAAGATTCCATGACAAGTTGTGAAGTTGATTTTTCCATGTGCTTACAGGAAGTCGACGACTTCCCGCCCAAAACCATTTTGTTTTTATCTCCTCTTCCCTTTGCTGACGAGAATATGTTGTCTTCCCTCCGTTGGTGTTGAAAGGGATCGATTTCACTACAGGATGTTTTGTGTTTTTTGTTGCCCAGGGCTTGAAGCAATTTTTATACACGTTTGCTTAAAGAGATGTGTTATTGTCCTGTTTTGGTTTAAAGGGTTGCAGGAAACGCTTGTTGCTGGCAATTCATGGGACATACTGCGGGTGGACGAACAACTGCGCAATTTGAGATCGCCTGGTTTCCGATGATTCCCCCTGCAAATTCCAACTAATAAACCTTATGGTTTCAACCACGGATTCCTTCCATGCGATTTCTGGATGACTCAGGTCCGCGGCCTTCGCCCGCGCCGCGGAGGTGGCGGAGGAGCAGGAGCTGCTCCGCCAGGAGCCGACGTCGCTTCGCTTTTTGGGCGACGGCGAGAGGCGGCGGTGGAAGGTCCGAGATGTTGATCATACTGTGGGTGGTTGCGAAATCCTTTTCCACCTGCGAAACCCTGGAATGATGATTCCCCTGCAAATACCAACAAACACTGGTTTTCCATGGTTTCCAAGTGGTGCAGGAGTTCGTCCACCCACAGTATGACCACCATGATTTACCTAAGGATTGTCATCGTCTAAATTGGGTCAACCTTTGTTTCATGGGGGTTGCATGGTTGAGGGCCCGGAAGCACCACCCAGTTTAGAACCTATTTTAGTGGTTGGATTGGGATGTTCACTGAAAATGGGTTTTGGCCCACACCCTTTTTCTTCATGGTTGTTGTTGGGAAACATATTAACATGTTTGCTGATTGTGGTTTAGTGGTTGAAATCCAACCACTTATGCTATTGTTTTTCAGTTTTTGCTCCCCTTCCAACGTCAACCAAGTAGCAGGGAAGGGGGAACCAGGGATACGGGATCATAGGTGTCCTTTTTGGCTGTTTTGCCAGAAAAATGGATGGCGATTTCTGGTTTACCTGGTGGTTGAATCATTTGCCAGGGCCATCTATTTCCCCTAAAAGGACACCTGTGGCAGGGATACAGGGATACGGGAGGGTTCACCTTGACGAAGTTTGAGATAGGAAATGGCGCCAAGGAACTCCCCTCATATCCCCGCTCCCTCCGTAGCCTCGCTTGTTCGTTTCTCCAAGTTGAGCCCTTGACTCACTCCTGGAGTTCCGTTCCTGAACTTGAGCCACCTTTTTGGGCTTAGTTGCCAGTTTGGTGGTACAGTCCTTGAACTTTAGCCACTTTTGTGTGTTTGGCCCGGTGGCAAGTAAAAAAGTCTGGCTTCTTTTGGCCACTCTACCCAGTTAATGAAAAGCTATCCGCCCAGCTACCTTGGCGGTTCCCAATCGTCTGGTTCCAGAAAGGTGTTTTAGTGGTTTTCATGGTTTTTGGCGGGTTTAGTGGTTGGGTTTCCGATTTTGGCCCACTCAAAGTCTCATTTTTTCTCCTGGGGATGCTTCACCAATAAGGGTTGCCTGCTTGGGTGTTCGATTCGCTAAGTTAGCAAGTTGGCAACCAGGCGGCAACCCACTGAGCCCTTCGAAGTCGAGTCAACCTAGCTGTGGGTTATAAAGCCATGTGGGTAGCCACTTCTGAACTTGGCCGACTGGCCGAACAATGCCTAGGAACCCTACACCTCTCAACAACCCCCCCCCCCCCTTGTACCCCCCCCCCCCTCCCAGTCGCTTTTTCGTGGGCTGGACCGGGACCGGGATGGCATTACCAGAGGCCAGTAGTAGGTGCTGTGTCTTTTCCAGCTGAGTTGGAGGTTTCCCTTGTAAAGCGGCTGGAGGGCCTTCGACATATCGTTTTGGGCTCCTGGGCTCCTGGGCTCCTGGGCTCCTGGGTGCGTTCGTGGAAAGCGTGGGGAGAATCTCTGCTTTTGGAGAACTGCCCCATTTGGAGTTTGGCAACTACCCCTTCCAAAAACAAGCGTTGCACCTGAACCTCCGCGAAAAAAGTTCCTAATGTTCCTTTCAAAGCCGGACCCCTGTGCAGGTTCCATACTTATTTTTGAGTGGTAAGCACAAAGCTCCAGGACCTTTCAGGGCAATCCACGAAGGATCCGAGAGATGCCCGGAGCTGCCAGGAAGTGCTGCGCCTGCGCGACCAAAACGTCGACTTGGTGCGTCAGATGCACGCGCAGCACACCACGCGGGCGCTGCAGGACATCAAGTCGCTGGGCAAAGAAACCAGAGCTGTGGGGTGAGGTGTCATGTCTTTTGGGATGGTTTACGGGTGTTTGCACAGGGCTCCCTAAAAGATACATGTTTTTTCCATTTGAAACTGGCTTTTTCCACCAACAAAAAGGAAACCACCATTTACAAGGCAATGTTCAGGTGTATAACGTAAGGATCCTGTTGTGGAGGGCAGGATTTCCCCACATGAAAGAAAGATTTGCGTTTAAATATGTGTGGTATACCCATGTCAAGGGGTTGTCCCAAAGTGGGTGACTGATTTCAATTTTGCTTTAGACCAGAAACAAATGGAGACCTGGAGTCTCCATGACCCTTTAAAAATGGGGTCATTACCCAAAATTAAGGGGTCAAATTGACGGAGACTCTAGGTCTAGGGACCCTCAAAAAGGACACCCATTTTGGGTGAAACAGACCGTAAACTTGAGGATGTCTCCCTGTGATGGGCCCATGGAAGCGTAGAAACAGGATACCGCAACCGTGTAAAACGGCATGCGACGCCAAAAATGGTTTCCCAACAATGGCCGTTCGCTTTTGTTCAGGTCCATATTAACCTGCAGAGGGTGACATGCAATTGCAAGAGTGCAGCGCAGCTGCCATTTTAAACGGCCAGGACATGAGTCTTTCAAAGCACTCGATGCATTTGTTCACCCCATGAAGATGGGGATCGAGGGTTGGGAGCTAAGACATTCTTTTAAGAAGCATGGCAAGTCTGGGAAGGGTGGGCCCTCATTCGCTGTGAGGCTTGGGGGTTGGGACATCGGTGATTGATATTGCCTTGAACATGCTCTTTCGTTCTTTTTTGGGGGGGAGGCCTCCTGTCATGTCGGCATCCCCGCGCCGGAGCCTTTGGGGTCGAGAGGAAATCTCCCAGGCGAGTGAAGACTCCAAGCGAGACTGAACTTCAAAGAAACACTACCTAGAGTCTCCATGACCCTTTCAAAATGGGGTCATGACCCCTTTCTGTCGGGGTAATGATCCCATTTTTACAGGGTCACGGAGAGTCGGTAAACAAAAAGCACGGGCTTGTGTCGCGTTGCCGGTGGACTCTGGCGAAAGTCACTCTGTTTATTGGCTGGTTTGGTTTCGTTGTCCTTCATGCTAGCGGGTTTCAACATGTGGTCAGGTGTGTGTAGAGGGAGCGGGAACATTGGCATCCTTCCTGGTGAGCCCAGGATTGTTGCTGCCGCTCGCTCTACGTGAGATCGACCCACGCGGAACCACCCCGAGATCCATGCGCCCCGCGTGCTGCGAAGCGCGCGCGCGCGCTTTCGCGCGCGTTTCGACCTGGACGACTCTTGCGGAGGAATTCGAGCCGATGCCCGACACACCTGGAAAGTGTCCCAAGAATTTCCCAGTGGATCCCAGTTACTCACATAGTTTTATTTGTTTATCCAGCTGTTTTCCATTGTTTTCCTTGTCATTTCTAAACAGTGGTCCCCTTGCTTCCCATAGATCCACTGGGTTAGGCTGGGACATGCAGTTGGCTCAAACAACAGCACCCGATTCCGTGCCTTCAGGGGAACCTTGGGGGGGTGTCAGTCGAACCTTGAACGTTAGTTGCAGAGACCAACCCGTCCGTCTTGTCATATGCACGGCACTAGCATGTTCTGGCCGTAGTCCGGGCAAATTCAATCCCCCCCGCCGGCCCCCGCCTCCAAGACAAAAAACAACAGAAGAGGACTGCAAGAATGGCATCGAGTCATGGTTTGAACTTGCTCGAATTGTTTGTTGCCGCCGTAGCATATGCTCTCGACGCCCGCGCGATTGCGCGCGGCACGCCCCTTGGGGGCGCGGCGCTGCGCTCCCAAAAATTCGGCGCAGCCGGATGCTCCGAGCCGCCTGCCGGATGACCAAAGCATTGTTTGGGTCGGGGGAAAAAAAAACACGCGGCGCAAGGGATCTTTTGTGAACGTTTTGTTCCAGCCAGATTTGCATGGAGATTGGTCAGGGGTCACAGCATGCCTTTACAATTTACCCGAGTTTGGAGGTCCGAAACTTGCAGTTACATGATTTCCCCACAAACAGTTTCAATTTGCTGGTGGGTTCCATTCAAACTATCGCCACTTTTGGAGGTCCGAAACAAGGAAAGTTGAGGGACCCCCATTGATTTGGTTGCCTTTGCTTTTTGGATGTTGGGGCTTGAAGTTTTTGCCAACTCATGGGTTTTCCATTAAACCACTAGAAGAAATTAAAGACTTTTAGCAGCGGAGCAGATTTCGCAGCCGAGTTTGGTTTCTCTCAAACAAAAGTCAAACCGCCCTCGGAGCACCTCTGGCAGCCGTGAAGGGCAGTCGTGCTAAGCCCAAAGCCAGGCTGGAAAAGGAGCGGATGGATCTGGAGTAACTAGGTCCCCCAGCTAGGTGCCCTTTTACCGTTTCTCTTTTGGGGGACCTTTCTCACCGCTTTTTTGGGGGAGGGGGAACCCCCTACTAAAATAGACTACAGGAGAAAGTTGGTGCCCTTTTGTAACCTCTACCACCAAAAGCAAGATGGGTGGTTGCCTAGCCTAGCTTCTGCGCGAGCCAGCGCCTTTTCGTTTGGCTGACTTTTGGGGAAGAGGAACGCCGGACTTTGCCGAAGGCGAACCAACATTCAGTCTCGGAAACAGGGATCACGCGTGGGCTTTGTGTTCGATGCCTTCGGAAGAAGAAAGGGACTGATTGAACTTCTATTGAATCCTCTAAAGACCAGGTCCTGTTCCTGGAGAATCTCCTCGGAGCTGAGACAAGTAAAAACTGAGCAAAGCCGTGTATTGTGAACCGCTATAGTTACTGTGGATGGACGAAATCCTGCACCACTTGGAAACCATGGGATTACAGGGGTTTCTTAGGGGGTGGGATCTGCGGGAAGTTCAATGCTTCATCCATTGGAACAAACTCTGCATTTGTTGGTTGCAGTGAACCCAAGCCAGGTCATACCGGTTCATATCCTCCACATAGGGTCTAGGCACGGACGGAGAACATAACAAGGTCAGGTGAGTCCAAGCTAGTCCTGGAAAGCAGAAACGCCGACCACCAGAAAGCCGATGGGAGCACATCCCAGAAGGCGGGACCCAAATATCAATCATGATTGCTTCTGAGTTCCTGGACTTCATTTTTTGGGAAGGTCGTTTTAGTGGAAACCCAAACAGAGTAACGACACTTTTTGTTTGCTACCCCTGCCAGGTTTGGATCACTTGAACATCCCATTGATCTAGGGGACACGCCCTTTTCCATTCTTTCCAGGGATCCGAATCTTGCCAGAAATCCATCAGAAGCCCAGGGGAAACAGCGATCGGTTTTGAAAAGAGCGATGGTTTAAAAGAATGGGGAATCAACTGAATCAACCCCTAGAATTTTAGTGGACACCCAAAGAGTCTGACTTTATTTTTGGCCTAGAGAAGTCTCTTGTTGGGGCCCCCCGTTCATGGGTCCCATGAGAATTTGGGTTGGAGGGGCCCTTGTTTTCAATTGAGCAACCACATACTTCCATTTGCTTTAGAAGAACATGTTCTCCCCTGTTGGTTTTAAATGGCAAATCTATCACTACTGGAACATATGTGCCCATTTCTATGCAGGGGGCTTATACAAGCAAATGGAAGCATATGTATGGTCAACAGACGGGCTCCTTTACTTGGGCTTAAAATTTGGGATCATCCACCTGTCCTTAGCCACATGGGTTCCTGGCCATAATATGGCTAAGATAGAAATCTTCTCCAAATGGCCCGCCCCGCCCCCCCCCCCCCCCCCCCCCCCCCCCCCCCCGTGCAGTGGACACTCCTGCGCCATTTTACGGTTACCATTCCCGTGTAAAGAGCGAAGCCGCGACTACGGCGGGCCCTGCGGGCGCGGCGGGCGCGGCGCGCGACGGCGCGGCGGCGCGCGGGCGCGGCGGGCGCGTGGGTGCGGCGGACGCGGGCGCGGGCGCGATGCTCGCGGGCGGGGCGGGCCCTGTGGGTGCGGCAGGCGCGGCGCGGCGAGAAAGCGGGCACGGCGGGGGGGCCTGGGCGCGGCGGGCGCGGTGAGCGCGGCGAGCGCGGCAAGCCGGCGGCACGGCGGGGCAGCGCGGGCGCTGTGGGCGCGGCGGGCGGGCGGGGCGCGGCGGCGCGGGCTGCGGCGGGCGCGACGAGCGCGGCGGCACGGCGAGCGCGGGCCCGGGGCGCGGCGGCGCGGCGCGGGGCCGCGGCGCGGCGGTGAGGCGGTGAAGGGCCGGCCACATCGCTGGCCCACGGGCGCGGCAGGCGCGGCGTGGCGTGGGCGGGGCGGGCGCGGGCGGGCGCGGCGGCGGTGGGCGAGCGCGGCGAGCGCGCGGCGGGCGAGCGCGGCGGCCGGCGCGCGGGGCGTGGGTGCGGCGGATGCGGAGGCGGGCGCGGCGGGCGCGCGGGCGGCGCGGCGAGCGCGGCCGAGCGCGCGGCGGGCGCGCGCGCGGGGCGCGCGCGCGGGCGCGGCGAGCGCGGCGAGGCGGGCGGGCGGCGAGCGCGCGGGCGGCGGGCGCGGCGCGGGCGGGTTGCGGCGGGCGCGGGGCGCGGGCGAGCGCGCGGGGGCCGGGGGCGGCGAGCGCGGCGAGCGCGGCGGGCGCGGCGGGCGCGGCGGTGCGCGGCGGGAGGCGCGGCGGGCGCGGCGGGCGCGGGTGCGGCGAGCGCTGCGGGGGGCGGTGGGCGGCGGGCCGCGGGGCGCGGTGGGCGGCGGCGACCGCGCGAGAAAAGCGGGCACGGCGGGCGGGGGGCCTGGGCGCGGCGGGCGCGGTGAGCGCGGCGAGCGCGGCAAGCGCGGCGGGCATGGCGGCGGGCAGGCGCGCGGGCGCTGTACGTGGGCGCGGCGGGCGCGGCGGGCGCGGCGGGCGCGCGAGCGGCGCGACGGGGCGGCGGGCGCGACGAGCGCGGCCCGCACGGCGAGCGCGGGCCCGGGCGCGGACGAGCGCGGGCCCGGGCGCGGAGGCGCGGCGTGAGCGCGGCGGAAGGCGGGCGCGGCGCAGCAGGAGGCCCCCCGCGGGCACGGGCGCGGCAGGCGCGCGTGCGCGACGTGGGCGCGGGGCGGGGGCGCGGCGGCGCGGCGGAGCGCGGCGAGCGCCGGCGGGCGTGGCGAGCGCGGCGGTCGGCGCGGGCGCGGTGGGTGCGGGCGCGCGGGGCGCGGTGGGCGCGGGGGCGCGGCGAGCGCGGCGAGCGCGAGCGCGCGGCGACGGCGCGGCGGGCGCGGCGAGCGCGGCGGGCGGCGCGGCGCGCGGCGCGGGCGCGCGGCGGGCGCGGCGGGCCGGCGGGCATCGGCTGGCGCGGCCGGCGGGGCGCGCGGGCGGGGCGCGGCGGGCGGCGGCGGGGCGCGGCGAGGCGCGGCGAGCGCGGCGGCGCGGCGGGCCGCGGCGGGGCGCGGCGAGCGCGGAGGGCGCGAGCGCGGCGGAGCGCGGCGGGCGCGGCGGGCGCGGCGGGCGGCGCGGGCGCGGGCCGGGCGCGGCGCGCGTTGGTGAGCGCGGCGGGCGCGGGGGCGGGGCGGGCGCCGGCGGGCGCGGCGGGGCGCGGCGGGGCGCGGCGAGCGCGGCGGTGAGCGCGCGAGCGCGGCGAGCGCGGCGGGCGCGGCATGGCGCGCCGGGCGCGGTGGCGGGCGCGCGGGCGGGCGCGGGTCGACGGTGCGGGCGGCGGGCGGCGCGGGCGGGCGATGTTGCGCGGCGGGCGTGGGCGCGGACCCGGTGGGTTGGGTGCGTCTAGGGGGGCGCGGGCCAGCGGCGGGCGAACCGGCGAGGGCGCGTAGCGCGGAGCGCGCCGGTGAGGTGGCGCGGCGGGCGCGGCGGGCGGGGAGGCCAGGCGCGTGCGGGCGTGCGGGGGAACGTAAGCTGGGATTGGGGCTGGCGCGAGCGCCGGGCGCGGCGAGCGCGGGCGAGAGCGTGCGTCGCGGTACGCGGCGGGCGCGCGAGGTGCGGGCGCGGGGCCCCCCGCGGGCGCGGCGGGCGCGGCAGGCGCGGCGCGCGCGGCGGGCGCGGGCGGGCCACTGGCGCGGCGGGCGCGGGGTCGGCGGCGCGGGCCGGGGCGCGGCGGCGGTGGCGGCGCCTGGCGGCGCGGGCGCGGCGGGCGCGGCGGGCGCGGCCGTGCGCGCGCGCGCGCGGCGAGCGCGGGGGGCGCGGCGGGTGCGGCGGTGCGACGGGCGCGGCGGCCCGGCGGGCGCGGCGAGCGCGTGGCGGGCGCGGCATCGCGGCGGGCGCGAAAACGGGCGCGGCGGGCGCGGTGGGCTCGG